ATGGTGTCTATTAAAATTGCTTAAGTGTGATGTAAAACTCGCCTGGCAACCTCCTCTTGTGAAAGGCTTTGGGGGCGGAGAGGGGAGTCAGCAGGCCTGTCACGATAATTACTATATCGAGTTCAATATATGGGAGCTGGAATAATATTTTTAGGGTGCAATATATATATATGGTGTGTCTGTGCACAAGTGGGGAATTACTTTCTTATTTAATAATAATAATACATCATACTTACATAGCACTTTTTTGGACACTCAAACCCACTTTAAAAACAACAGGAACCAATAGAAGACGACAATGGAAATACATGGGGGGAATGCAAGATTGAACAGGTGAGAATGTTTTTATAGTACCATAAGATTTGAGTTATGTTAGGTTGAATAAATAACTTAAACTTCCATAACTAAATCATACTTAATCTTACTTAAGTGATAAAGTGTTTCAGTTCTGCCATTTCCAAATAAGGTTATAGGGATTATCAAGGTTTGAGTTTCATAATTTATTGTGATATTTTTTATGTAGTAATATATATTGCACTGGAAAAACTCTTAATGTATAGGATTGTCAATAACAATTTGAAGTGTGATTTATTGGTGAAGAAAATATGTAGACAATGAATCATAAGTAATACTGAACAAACTTACCACTGACACATTAACCCTAGAACGATTCTAAATGTGCAATATCATTAAAAAACATGAGTGGCAATAAATAAATCACACAATGAAACTTGCTTAGTTTGTATCTAATGAATCATATACATTATTTACTCAACCCTCTATATTTCAATCTGATCATGGTACAGAGACATAAAAATAAGTTCCCCACAATAAAGATTGACCGCCAAAAATATTCTATCTATCATGTACTGAAGTCGATCTAGTAATTATCTCGACAGGAATAATCGTAACAGGAGGAGGGTCAGTGATCCGACTGGGACGACCTTATCTTGTGCCATAAACATATTTGTACTGATGGTTTTGCAGTCCCTTTGAGATGAAGATGATAAACAAGCAGTCTTGATCACAAAATGAGATGATGTCGTCCTGAACCTTGCTCCTCCTGTTTCTCCTGCTATAGCCCCAGGAGTCACTGTAAGGTCTAGAAGATCCTCCAATGATTACCCTGAAGCACAAGACACAACAATACCACAAATCTTTTTCATCTCGCTGTTTGAAATTTGCAGCACTCCCCGGCTTAAGGCGGTTTTGCTTTGAGCTGTATAAAATATTGCAATTGAATCGAAATCGCAATTTGACTTGGCTCACTTATCAAACCGCAAAGGCTGCAATTCTTTACACTAAATATAGATAGCTGATTGACTAAAAGCTTGGTGTACCTGTAGTTTAAACCTCTACAAACATGTTCTGAATTTGATGTGACACTTGCATTATTTTACCAGTTCATATTTCACTCCTCTTTCAAATGTCAATTCTATCTAATCCAGTTGTTATTTTGCAATGTGCGGAACAGAAACCTATTTTTAAACATATTGCAGATCTAATCACAATAATAATAATAAAAAAATAAAAAAAAAACACAATTATATTTTCTTCCAAAAATCATACAGCCCTACTTTTGCTGACACACAGAATGAAAGAAGAATGTTGCTTATTTGTTGCCCTTAATTATAACCAATGGCAACATGCAAATCAAAAAAAAAGAATCAAAAACACACGTACAGGACTCGGGCTTAGTGCCGGTGGATATTTGGCCCCATTAAAAAGCAGAGCATGTGAGCTAGCCTAAATGTCATGTCACAGCTGACCTCTGCCTCTCCCCTGCAGGTTCAGCTCTTTGTTCTCACATCCTGGAGTTGCCCATGTTGATGTCCAAAACACCTGATCTGCTGGTATCATGTGGCTGCAGTGGATTTTAGCCCAAGCCTGACCTGTTTTTGACCCTTCGTGCCGCACCTCCTGACTTTCACAAAGACAACCAAACATCTGCTCCCAGTCTGAAACCGGACTCACGCTGCTCACAGTCACCGGGTGGGCCTGGCTCTTGTAATGGTGGGTAACGGAGTGGGCGAGTGGAGACTAACAACTGCAATGATGGACTCTAAATGTTTAAAGTGCATATGGCAGGTTTTCATGTTTTTCTAATTATGACTTGGTTTGGTAGGATCTTGGTACCTGTGGTAAATATTTATCATAGTTTTGCATCAGTTAAGTGGCAGTTTGTGGAAAATAGTTGAGAGGAAAAGGACCGGTGAGTTCTGAAACTATGTCATAAACACCAAAAATTCTACCTAAAATGCAGGGACAATTTAGTCACAAGGAAGCCAGTTTAAACATTGATTTAACAAAATCAATGTTAATTTGTTATATAATAGTCTAATTATAACTATTGTGCCATTTAGTTTTGATCTTTGTTAACAATATTTTTTGCTAGGTAACATTTATTAAATTACCTCTACATATGTCATATCTGTCTATTGATACTTTGCAGTCAGATCACGCTGGGGGTGTTCTACATTTATGTCTATAGAAGAATGCTCAGCCGTTCGTGGTTCCACTTCTTCTTCTTCCATTTGTGGTTAGGTGCTTAATTTTCAAGAAATAAGGAGAGACAGACTAATTGGAAAAATTGTTGGCTAATGGTAGCTAGCTTGTGACTGTGAATGTTATTTGAGAGAGACGGTACAAAATCATCTCTCCTATTGTACTTCCAACTATTAGTCAGTTCTTTTCATATTATGTTAAATGAAAGCTCTGATTAAAATTTTAACTTCCAGCTTCTAACAACCAGGGAATGCTGATGACATCAGTTGCAAAGTATCAATATAATTTTTTTGTAAAATCTTAAAATATAATGATGTTAACTGTGTTTTAGTGAAATGAGTAGTCTAACCTGTCATACGCACTTTAAGCCCAATGCTACCTGGGATGTGTTTTTCCTCCCCTGCCCCGGAAACTAGAGTGCATCCTCATTTGGCAAATGGATTTCACAAATGCGGCTCATCTGAAAACAACCACAGTGGATAGAAATGGTGCTATGCTCATAAATTCCCAGACAACACCTGCAAGAGATTTAACATACACAGATTCGAATAGAGAGCAGTTGTGGAATAGGACGAAAGGGGCGCATACATTTCCAATTCAAGTACAATCTCTGAAAAGCAACATAAAATTACAGACTTTCAGTAAAGTGCATCCTGCCAAGTGGCTCACTGTGACGCAGTGGAATTATTGCATCAAAAATCCGCCCGTTAGTCAAGCCATTTCAGAACCACCAATCACAGAGGCTGGACGGTACTAATCAATGTATTTTAATGAGCTCTTGTAAGAATCCCAACAACAGCTGAAACATTAAAGCACGCTCAACTTCTCTTGCTTCTCCCTTTGTACCTTGTGATCTGTTATTCATAGTCCGCTCTGAAGTCTCAAAGAAATAAAACCAACGCTTTGATGTTCTCTTCTTATTGCTGCAGTCCATAACAAGCCCAATGTTGGGAATCAGATCTTAAAAACTGTCACGTGTTGAACTTTCGGTAACACAAAACATCCGGGCCTTGTGTGCACGCTACTTATAATCACTGAGACGCCTCTGTGTGAGAAACAAACAATCATCACCCGTTAATATGCGCTTTGTCACTTGCGGCTTACTATAAATACTCCACTCCGCCAGTCAAGCTTATACCTAAAGACTCGGTGAGCTCTGGGAATTGTTTAACTGTTCACACAAGCAGCCCTAGACAGACAGCCCATAAAAAGAAGCTACACAAGATTTGTAGAGGAAACTACCCTTCCAGACCGCAATGTAAATCAATATGTTCCAATGCATTTGTCAGTGGTTTTGGCTGGAAAACCTGAAGCCAAGTTGCTTTTTCCCCTTAAAGTATCTGAGTTTGCAGTGACGAGGCAGAAGATTCAGCAAATGAGTCACAGGCAAGAGAGTAGAGAGAGACACAGACAAAGGCATTAATTAACACATGCAATCAAGTGTTGTTACAGTTTAGGGAAGAGTTACTGCATTGCTTAACGCAGCAGGGACTGATCAAATGAACTGCTGACCACTAGACTGCCTCGGAAATACCCAAAAGTCATCACTTCTATCAGAATCCAATCCACTTTGAAGTAGGGCTGACAGGATAACACATTTTAAAGCATGATATATTGCTACAGAGAAATACTGCGATAAATTATAATACTGAAACTACTTTGCCACTGATCCAAAACAGGATAATCCCAGTAGACCCATTTTTAAACAAACAATATCATTAAAAAGCCTGCGCTGCCACAAATAAATAGCAAAATGAACAGATAATTAGCCATAACAGTAATTTATTCTACTCTCGACAGCTCAAATCTTATGGCATTGCATAAAAATGTCAAAACTCTCCCCATTATTGCAAAGAAAAATGACCCATGATAAATACTGAGATCCAAAATATATTGTTCCAGCTATCATATATTCAAAGATAAGTCAATGTAGTAATTATAGTGATATGCCTACTTCGAAGTTGGTTTTAATTCAAAAGTACACTAATAAAGCATTTGTGAAAGTTAGCTTAGTTGTCAATTTATCCATATCCTGTCACAGAGCTGTCGTATTTCTATCATTAATGGCGCAATACATTTCACAGCAGAGCAGAGACCTTTGCTGTCATTTCACTGCCAGACCTAATTATTCTTCACTGCGTTGGGAAACATAGCACCCTAATGCAAACAGGGCTCATTCTGCACTACAGCATAATTGTACTAGTCGGTGGGTCTGAGTTCCCCCTTCAACGAGGTCTAAAATGTAATTATCTGCTCTTTGGAAAATGTAGAGGCACAGAGCTACATTGCAAAACTGCACTTTTGAAGCAAGTACGGTGAGGCAGTCGCTTGAGTAAGCACAGGATATTACTGAGCACATCCTCCCCGCTGTCATAAATTAAACAACCTCACCTTTGTTATGGTTAGGAGTAGATAATGGATTTTTTACATAACAGTCTGTTTAAACTTTACACAGAGCAGATGCAAAACAGCGCACAAATGTTTGCAAGTCTTACCATGTGAAGCTGAGAGGATCCATAGTCCGGGCACACTGCAGTACGCTTTTAATCATATCCGTCAGGCTCCTTGACATTATAGACAGACTGCAACAATAAAGGCAGTGTCACGGGGGGCAGCCAAATAAAACAACATTAACATTCCACCAGGTAAAGAGACCGAAAGGGACGGAGAAACATCAATACATCCCCATTAGTTAAGTGCGCCCTCAGGATAGCCGAAATCGGATCACAGAAGGACCTATTCCTCCTCCAAGCCACGGAGCATTTGCCCAGCAGCCAGCAGCATCTCCTCTCCGGTACAAAATGAGTGCTCCCCGTTGCTCCGCGCGTACAGCAGGGATCAGGACGTGCCCGGTGACGTCAACCTTTTGTTATCACCTTTAACACTTGGGTTTGCAGGTGGAGACACTTTTGCTCCCCCGTCGGTGCGTAAAAGAGGCGCTATATTTGCCGACGGCGCGCAACATCTGTATCGAGACGGCTGAGGCTCTAAATAGAGATATACGCAGGCAGCAAGTCCTAATGAGAGTATCATACACATCAGGGGTACAGGAGACAACTTGGTGACAGCCCGACCATAGTTTCATAGTTTAAAAGCTGAGAATAGCTCCAGGACAAGTGCACAACACCTCTACGCACTACCTTCTAGTGAAAGGTTTTTCCGCAAACAAATAATACTAAGACATTTTGCCAGTAAATGCATTGCAAAAACAGGTTGTAAAATGATGATTAAGCAGGCAGGATCTCTATCTTATAGTCGTCAAACAGCAAACAAATAGCTAACCAGTTGCCAAACACAAGCACAGTTTAATTCAGTTCACACCAGTTTTTACCAGCTACTTTAAGTCCAGTCTTGAACTATTTGTGAAGAGAAAACTCGTAAAACATGGGAGGCTTATAATAGCTGAATAGACAGAAGAGGGGCCCAGTACAGTAGTTGTAAACCTCCCTGTTGCCAGACTCAGAGCAGTGCCAGCTGACTGGAGGGTCCTGGCTATAGCTAACCTAGCCACTCAGTGTGAAAGATCCACATACCCATTGTTGCCTTTCTGCCCTTTCACAACAAATATGTTTAAAATGCAGGGATGCCGTACAGCATCGGAAAACAAGCTCGTTTTATGGATGGAGCTACTTACTCTCCGTGTACGCCCGCTAAAGACATCTTTTAGTCGGTGGCCATGGTTTAAAACGGACAGATTCTGCCTTTGCTTTGCGCTGCCGAATCACTGCCGCTGCTGTCTGCGCCAGCCACTTCCCGCGCATGCGCACTGCCACCGCTCGCTAGACGGCGCTGCGCAGAGCGGTGCGGTTTAAAGGCACAGCAGGAGGAACGCAATTGGACAAACTAACCCAAACGTTCTGCTTTTATCTGATTTAAGAGTTATTTTAAATGATAACCATTGAGATAATTTGGTAAAGACAACTCTGTAGCCTAATTCAAGTTTTTCTTTATTCTTTTCAGCATCCACACAACTGATTTAACTATAATGAAGTAACTGTAGGCCTATAGAATTTTACTATTTTGATCAATTAAATTCATTAAATACAATTATTAAAAGTGCACTAAGTAACTTTATTCTTTCTTGTTCCTTGAGACTTTGCATAAATTCTTACTTCAAGCGTGGTCGCCTCTCCACAGATCTGGCCAGTAACATGGCCTGTGCCATCACCTGCTCGTCCATATGGAGATAGACAAATTGCCATCATAATGTCAAACTTTCTAGGGAAAGTGATAACATCTCCATGGGAACATGCAGGTGGTGGACCGTCCACCAGAAAAGTTACATAATGCACCTTTAATTTTCCACTGCGAGTTCTGATGTAGAGATGGATCACAGCACATTTTACTTATTCTTTGGAAAGTTTTATAAATTGTGAAATGTCATGCGCCTCTATTGTCACCAATGACACCATCATAAGCCAGCTGTTTGCTGCTATCATATCATCTGAGTATTATCTCACCATTAAAGTGCATAACATCCTCTCTCTGTTGTATGGAAGAGTGATGATCAGATGACTCATCCTGGGCTTTTATGTTTAATGGCACCAGAGACAAAACATTCTGAGTGTGTTGTGAGACACTTTTATGTGTCTTATGATGGATTTTACAACCAATTTCACAACAGATTTGCTCATTTGTATTCCATAATATTAGTAAGACTTGAAATTACTGACTTTACATTGAAAAACAAAGAATTGCAAATACAACAATATTGCTCAGATGGTATAGCCCAGTGTTTCCCAAACTGTGGTTTATGGTACTGTTGCCTCTGGTGCTGCAGAGCCCTTTGTAGTTTTAGTATTTCTTTAATGTAGTGGCAAATATGTAAATGTATTTTTGTTCCTTTGTGTTCACTATTCATTAGCAATACCTTAGTATTGCTATTGTAGTTTAATTTTAGACCATGTTTAGCCTAAATTTATGGCTGAGAGTCCAGCTTTATATCTGAACTCAAAAAACTATTCTTTTTGGTGGTGTGAAAATATTGAGGACCTCTGGTAAATTTTCATTCACCTTCACAAAATAACTTTTCACTAATTCATGAGACTGGTAAGAAAACTACAGAAACACAAGTGGAGTGTGCGGTCAATAGTGTCACATGCTTTGTGATTTGATGAAAGGTTCTATTTGTACAGCCTGATGTGTATAGGGCCCTAATCAAAGACTTATATTTCTGTGACAACTAAAATAAATTACTCCATTACAACAGCCCACCTGCCCTCTCGCCACCATATTGATACTGTTTTATTACCAAAGAGAGACAGATGGACAACAGCTAAGAGTGGAACAGAGTGTGCACCTATGCTTCTGTGATGTCAAATGATGAAACACTAACAGAAAGTGATCAGGCCAGAGTTTTAGAGAGAAAATTACCATGTTCAACTCCAAAAACATCTGAAATAAGACATTGTGAAGAGAACTCAGAGTCTATGGTCTAGCACAGAGACTGGGTTCATTACAATACTCCAGCCAATTTGGACCTGCAAGCCACACTTCCCCCATCAGCCCAGTGAAAGAAAGGAGAATTTGGTCTGAAAGCCCAATCACACACGGCGCTCCGAGTTCAGCAGGTGGGGAAGTAGCAGCAGCAGGCTCCATCAGCCAATAATACAAAGTTAATGATGCAGAATGGTGTCTTTCTCCATACCAAAGAAGACATCAATACAGGATGTTTAAGAACGCTGCTCCTAATTACGCTTTTTAAATTCACCACCGACGTGATTGATGATTTCAAAGGGAGGCATTATTGATCCACTTCACAGACAAGTCCCATCGATTGCAAGTCTAGAATGAATAAAAGTTTTTTTTTTCTTTCTCCTCCCCGCTGAGACAGAGATTGTACAATCAGAGCATCAGTGTGACCTATATGAGTAGTTTGGGAGCTAAATCATGTCTTTGGAGAACTTATGGAGCGGTGATTGCATGAGAAGGAACAGTGAAGTCACACCTCTTTCTTGTTTATCAGATTTGCACATTCATCTATTCATGCAGGAGGCTGTGGTGCTTTACAAATAGCCCTCTTTGTTGGAGTCCTCAGCAGGATAAAGTTCAGGTGCTCTATAGACAGTCAGCCAGCTGTGCAGCATCGCGCCCTGCTCCGCAATCAGTGGTGATGGAGTGACTGCTGCTCTGACACATTGTTGTTTTTTCCACCTCTGCTCCTGGTGACATGCCCTATGACTGCTGCGGATTATGCCCTGAACTTTGTTATTCCACACGATCAGCCAGCATTCCTTATTAGTGCCGGACCTGCTATTATTGCATACTTAATCCCATCAGTTTTACTACCTGGGGGTCCGGACTCAATTCTAGTAGGGGGCGTGCAATTTCAGCTTTATTTGTTATCCATCAAAATTTTAGATAGTTTTAAAATATTTTTATACTAAAAACTGAAAAGCAACAACAATAACTAGAACTTCATAATGAGTTTAGCCATTTAGTTGTAGCACAAACAAAAAATGTAGCAAATATTTTTTATTGTAGATGTTTTGAAGCTATGAAATTTCAATTGTAATCTTAAAGTTTCAAATCATCTTTTATACTAAAAACTAAAAAAACAACAATAATTAGAACTTTATAATGATGAAAGGCTTTAATGATGAGTATAGCCATTCAATTTTCGCACAAACAATAAACTGAAAGCGTAACTTGAACAACATCAAAGGATAATTGCTATAATAAGGGTACATGGTAATTGTATTTCAGCACTTACTGTGTTGTTTTAAGCTTAAATATTATAAACAACCATCAAACAAAATTAGCAATGCTGTACACAACTTTTCTGTTGTTCTTGGCAAAATATTATCCCTAAGGTCATTTGTTTTTTGAATAGGTTAATTTGGTTCATTGGTTATTGCTGTTTTCCATTGTTTGGGGTCAACTGCAAGAGAAGAGAGTTCAAATACGATTATGTTGAAGGGCTATAGTTTGATAACATCTAAAATAAGCTACACTGAATATGCAGTGTACTCCTGGATTCTTCAGTTCATATGGCCTTTATGCACCATATAGATATGTCAGTGCTCGGTCTATAGAAATTCAACCTATTCACCAAAGCCTGCATTTGTACAAAGAGAATATACAATGTTTTGATATAACTACAAAAAGCCAGGCTGATTAGAAATCAACAGCCCAGTGATTTCCAACAGTAGAGAGGTTTTCCATCACACTGCATTGAATCCCATTGGCAAGTGCACTTCAAACGCTAAAGTGGGCTATGGCTTATGATTAAATGGTCTGCCGGCGAACTCTTTTTGTCTTTTTTGTGGAGAGTTCTTTCTGAAGGCCAAAGTTAATGCAGTCATAGAAAGAGCTCTGATACACTCCCACGTGAAATGTCCATGTGAGGAAAACCCTGAGGGAGCGGAGGCCTTGAATGAATTTGAGAGAGACACAGGAGACAGCAAGTTCAAACATTACTGATCCTCAAATATCCTCTTGCTTCAATTGAAATTCTACTGTAAGAGTCTGCTAAAAGCTCACTTTTTTTGTCTTGTCTATTGCGGCAGTGCTTTTAGACTTAGATGATGACAGATTGCGTGCTACCTGATATTCTTCATCATGCGTCCCCTCCGGAGGTGTTTGTTCCACCCTGAGCAAGTCCTGGAGGACCAACAAACAGCCGGCGTGCTGGAAGGATGAGGGAGGATGTTCTCTAAGGGTTTGACATAAATAAGCAACATTGATCAGTTAAAGGTAGTGTATGTAGAAAATTTAAATAGCACAAACATGACCTATTGATAATATGTTCAAATTGCTGAAATCCAATTATCTTAAACCTAAAAGGACTTTCACTGATCTGAATGGTCACTATCTAAACCCCAGCTCCTGCAGTCAATCATGAATGAGTGCTAGTGAAGCCTCTGCAGTTCAGCAAGAGAATTCTGGAGGTTCTGAGCTTTCACATGAGACATGATCTGTTCATACAGATTATGAGAATGTATATAGATTAAGATACTACCAACGCAGCTTTGTGATTGTACCTTTTTGAAATCAGGCTACATACACCCCCTCATATACACCCCTGCTATAAAATGAATACAGTGTCTGATGATTAACCTTATTTTACAGACGATGTGGTGAAGTTATGTGGTGAAGAGTTAATATCAGCTTGGCACTATGAACTGAGCTGTGCCAGGAAGAAGCCTAATTTAAAAAACTAAACAAGCAGCTTATTTGAGATCACGGGAGCGCAATATATCCTCCCCCAATGTCACAACTGTGCATCCGATATCCTCAGGGGTAAAGCTATGCACTGTGTACTCAGGGGACGGGAGCGAAAAGAAAAAGTCTGCAGTATGCAATCTGATTTGTGGTTATAAGAGCGTCATCCCTCACAAAGTAATCTGGAGAATCTCGAAGGAGCCAAAGGGCCTGTGAGGGATGTCATCCATTTTAAAGTGCTCATGTCAGCAGATGTGTTTGTGCATTGTGATGAGATGATTTGTAATAGCCTCGGGCAGATTTTAGCCACTGAGTATCATACCTGCTGTTGACAGGTGCTTACTGAACATTGACTGCAGGAGCCCTCAGGGAGATACAGGGAGTTTACTGCAAATTAAGGGCTCATTCACTCTTGTTTATATTTATGTGAGCCCATCTGTGGAATGGTATCTTAAATATTAATATTAGCCAATTTGAATTTTAATAATATATGAACACCTGTCACTTTAAATAACTCATATTCTTCATATAGGCATATTTGCACTGTTAGTTTTGCACTGTTTACAATCAGCCAAAGCGTATTTTTATTTAACACCTTATCGTTTATGTGCCCTTATGTTCTTCATAGTTTTTATTCTGCTATAATTATTTATGGTTTTATGTTATTGCCAGCAAATTCCTCTTTGTGAATTTTGACCTTATAAATTGTGAAGGTTGACCTAATAAAGACTGCTCACTTACAATGGCAATAAAAAAAATCTGATATAGACTTGGATTCGCATTTTAGTTTAGTTTAGTTCAGTCACTAAAAAGCATTAAAGAAATACAGAATACATTTGAGAACTATATAAACTGAATTTATGTTTTTATTTTTTTAAACACCTAAAACAATATTAGTGACTGGTAGGATGTTCGTTCGTACATTCTTGTCTATGTTAATGGCCCAATATGATGTTTATTATGTTTAAAAGATAAGAAGAATGTTGTTTTAATCTATATTATTGTAGTTTTTTGACCCTAGTGACCCCATATTGTGAAATTAATTGTAAATTTCCTGCCGCTAGTGGTCGCATTCGTTTTGATTCATGTTTCTGATGATTCTCTTTAAACCGGAAGTTGCTGTTCGTTGGATAAATAAAGATGGCCGCGCTCTTCGGGCAATGTGAACGTAAACGTCGTCATAATCTGCAAACGAATTAAACTAATATATCCTAATATTCGTGTGATTTGAGTGAAATGGCTTTGAGAGCGTGTGCCCGGATTATCAGGGGCTCCTCGGTATGGTCTTCTAGGATTGTTTTGGCTAGAACCGAAACGACGTCGCGTTTGCTCGAGCCTGGTAAGAGCTGTTTACAAGTCCAAATGATTAATCTCGATAATGAAACCAAAAATATGTTGTGCTTGACTTTAGTAACGCAAATTTATATATTCTTTTGTATTTTTAAGTCCACACCATTTCTTCTGTTTACTTGATGTAAGCGAGTGTGACTTGTTATTGCGTAAATGTAAAAAAAAAAAAAAAAAAAAAAAAAAAAAAAAAAATAATATATATATATATATATATATATATATATATATATATATATATACACAAAAATAATAATAATAGCATTAGAGGCGTTATTCATGACCATATATGTGTGTTCTTGTATTATCATTAGTATGTTTTATCAACGTAATTGCCATAATTTGTATATAACGTAAGCCTCCTAGTCCATGAAACAACATACAAGCCATCTGACCACGATACAAATCAATGTATTAGATTGGGTGCATTGATATTAAGAGATAATGGCATCTTGCCTTTACAGGAAATGCTGTCTGCAGTCCAGGGAGGATTGATGGATATCTTCTGCCTCCTGCCCGCTTCATTTCATCTGATGCACTGTGGAGCCGTCTGATGAAAGGGAGATTTGCAGAGTCAGAGAGTGGCTCTGCTCGGCTCCCAGCTTCTGTACCGTCAGACAGCGGTAGCAAGACTTCTCATTTACATTTTCTGGATAATGTTATGTTGTTTCCATTGGCTATCATATGACTAAAGAGTTTATACACTTGCCTTTCACCAGGTCAGCAAATCTCACTATTAATGCGACACCCAGATCAGCCTGAGAATGCCAAAGTTTTAAAAGTGGCCATAATTGGTGCTCCTAATGCTGGGAAATCAACCTTGTCTAACCAGCTTCTTGGAAGAAAGGTCAGTCATGGTTTATATTTTAAACACATTTGTTACTCATTTAGATTTTATTAAGTCAGTATTCAATAATAAATAACTTTTTTTTTTTTCAGTTATTTGCCGTTTCTAAGAAAGTCCATACAACCCGGACACGTGCAATGGGAGTTTTAACAGAGGATGAAACACAGATAGTAAGATTGTTGTTATTATTGCAACTAATTGCAATTTTAATATAGCATGTAATTAAAATGTTTTTAAATTTGCAGATTTTACTGGATACCCCTGGCCTAACAACCCCTTCCAAAGTCAAAAGGTAAGGCTTGCTCTAAAGAATAACATTGCTTGTTTTTTAAAGGTGCACTGTGTAACATTTCTTATGGGTGGTCTGCCACTTGCTTGTCTTCATGGAAATGTTATTGCTTTGTCTAGAATGTTCCACAGTTTAAATTATCCTATCTCTCCTACCTATCTCTCACATATGGAGATAGGCAGGTTACAGCACTACGCGGAGAGTGGAGAGTCGCATTTTTGAGCAATAGAAACACCTGTAATGATTAAATTCTAGATGTGAATGTTTAATGTCATACCATGATACATTCCAGGCAAAGCAATAACATCTCCATGGAGACAAGTAGGTAGCGGACCCTCCACCAAAAATGTTGCACAGTGCACCTTTAACTATATTTTTTTTAACAATCAACTATTCACAGACACCATTTGGAAAGGTCTTTACTCATAGATCCTTGGAACACTGTAAAAGAAGCCGACCTTGGTAATAATATACCATACAATACATAATAACTTGTTTTTCATATCTTCACTATATAATAGCTTACAGAATATTGTTTTTCTCCAGTGGTGGTTTTGGTGGACGTGTCAGACAGATGGATGTGTGGCAGACTGGACTTTGAAGTGCTCAAGTGTCTCGCTCAACATCCCGACACCCCAGCCATACTTGTTCTCAATAAGGTAATGATTCATTTTTGTCCCGCATCAGCTATTAAGCTATAATAAAATAAATTGCTGCGCACTGGTATTTATGAATGATCGAGGAATGGCACCATTTAGCTGTATTCATCTATAATGTATGTTCCTTGCAACAATCATTCACCTGACACAATAGAACTGCCAGCATAGTTGAATGAGATTCATTTGATCTTCTGATAATTTATTTTATTAGACCAGGGTTTAGTGACCAGTTTTGACTGCTCACTAGGGGTCTTCTTCAGAGTGGTCATGTGATGTTAGGTTAGGTTTATAAAGAACTGCCAGCACATTTCCTCCGCTATTGATTATATCTGATTTCCAGCACAACTTCGTAATAAAATACATCTGAATGAAACTACTTGCTTATAAATTAGATCATAGGGACTGACAAAACTATGTCCTAAACTAACCTTCATGCTGCCCTTTCCTTTCCCTGCCTTCTGTTTTTAGGTTGACCTTATAAAGACTAAGGACAGACTGTTGGACATCACGGCGGAGCTGACGTGTGGTATTGTAAATGGACGTAAAATCCGGGTCAGACCAGTGATCAAACCTCCATGGGCAGAAAAACGCCCAGAGATGACGCAGCACTTCCTTTCCGATGAGGACGAGACAGAAGATCCTGCAGCCTCTGATCAGGACAAATCTGCACTGAGTAAAGAGCAACTAAGAGTGCTGAGCCGTCAGAGAGGCTGGCCCCACTTCAAAGATGTTTTCATGGTCTCATCCCTGGATAAAGAGGATGTAGAGACACTAAAGGTGCTCATTTCCTACCACACAATACAACTAAATGTGCAAAAAGCTCAAAGTGCACTGAAAAACATAAAGAGGCTGTATTTTACTTCTGTGGGGTATTAACTGTTAATACATACAGTATTTAGATTGCCATGTCACCTTTTATTGTTTTGAAAATGCTATATTCACAGAAAACAACATATTAACATGTTTTAGTCTTACTTTCATTTTTGACACTCTTGAGTCTCCTCTCCCTTTGCTCTAACCCTTCACAACACAATCAGTTTGAATCCTGCTAATGAAACTATTGCACATTGCATCAGGTGTGTGAGGTCGTTGTGTACAGTTTTGTGTCATGCTTTTGTATATTTATGGAGAATTGTCATGTGGGACCATGGTAGGCTTGTGGGCAGAGCAATGGAAAGAATCTTACAGCTAACCAGGGGGTTGAAGTAGGACTTGGGAGAGGTCACTAAATTACTGAAACATGCATGGATGATATCTAAAACCTCTTCAGGCATGTTTTTGATGAGGAAACAATTTTAAAACAGGCTAGAAAGCTAAAATAAAAAAAATATATATATTTTGCATCAACTCCTTCAAACTAAACAGTATATTAAAAACACCAAAAGACAGCTAATCTCCAATCTCTTGTTTCAGGGCTACTTCCTGATGAATGCTAAACCCGGCGAATGGCAGTATCACAGTGAAGTCTTAACAGATCAGTCCCCAGAACAGATTTGTATCAACATCATCAGAGAGAAACTTCTGGAGTATTTGCCCCAGGAAGTGCCATATTCTTTGACTCAGGTAAGTCGGGCTGAAAAGGTTAATTACAACTAATAGATTATTGACATATTTATTAACTAATTTTATATTTGAATAATTGTTATCAATAATTGTTATCAATAATTGTTTATCATCAATACATAGGCACCAAAACATGCTGTGAGCTGAAAGGAGATTTTGTAGACAAAGAAGTTATGAAAAAACAAATGAAAATGTAGCCAGGATGTCTTCACAATTTTGTATAAGTCTCGTAAAAAATAATAATAATCATCATTTTTAGATCAGATTAATTGAATAGCACAATAATAATTTGTGTTATCTATTTTAAGTGTAGACCTGTTCAATTGCTCATTTCAAATGAATCTCAAATGATCTGCTTTTATCATATGAGCTCTCCCGGCCTCTCAGGTCCTCAGGTCGTCATCTTTTAACTGTCCCAAGAGTCCAAACTAAAACTCACGGTGAGGCGTCATTCAGTTTTTACGGCCCCCGTCTGTGGAACTGTCTGAGGATCTGAGGTCCGCTGCGAGTGTTCATATTTTTAAAAGTAAACTCAAACGTGTCTTTTCAATTAAGCTTTTAATGGAAACTTTTACTTGTTTTAAACTAAATTATTATTATTATTATTTACTTAGTCTCCATCTAATTTATCTCTCCATTTTTTATTTTTACTATAACCTTTAGGAGCTTTATGTTTTATGTTTCTGTTTAAATTGCTGTATATATGGATGAAACAATGGTGTGGTGGTGGGGTTGCTGTTGTTTTTCTAAATTATTGTCATTTTTCTTTTGCATGTGAAGCACATTGTACTACGTTTGTTCTATACAAATAAAATTTGATTGATTGAAATGAATGCATTTTATTTTTGCAGAAAGTTGAACTGTGGCATGAAGGAGAAAGTGGAGAGCTGGATGTGTGTGTGAGGCTGACTGCAAAGAAAGAGTCTCATGTGGTAGGTTGCATTCTTCTTGTGGTGTATAACTAGGTGCTATGTACTACAGATTATCATGCTAAACTTATACAACATATGTTATAAAATTTTGCTGTTCATTTTTTTTTTTACTTCTTTCTTTATATGTATTTCTCTATCCAGAGTACATACAGGTAGATTTTTCCTTCAGTAATTTTCTCTTGTAAATATTTGAATAGCCTTTCTAATCCATTTATATTTAATGACAAAAACTACTTTGGCTGAAATCTGAAAGGTTTTGATGTTGCTGACCTCTGAAAAGAGCTTTTACTTTCAACATGCAGCATAATGTTGCCATTAACTTGAACTACAGATTTATGCAATTTGTTCAAGTATTTGAATATCTCAGAAGTAGGTCTGTCACAATAATTATTATATATGACTGTAGTATTATGTGATATAAGTCAATATTTATAGTGGGTACTTAAATTTTAACACTATTGTAAATTTACTACATAATCGTTTATTGTCTATATATTCTACAATAAATCATTTCAAATTTGTTATTATGACATATTATGCAGAAGAACTAAAACATGTTTTCTTTTCAGTAATTACATTTTTTAAAGAACAAACTAAACTACATATTTGAAAATCATAAAAATGGTGGCTTGCTGTATTTTGTTTGTCAGAGCCTGGTGATTGGTACGGCGGGGCAGATGGTGGCACGCATGGCCCGAGAAGTGAGTGAGGACCTCAGCCGCATCTTTCTCACAGAAGTCCGTGTCAAGCTCTCCATCAAGTTAAAGAAGTAACAGATTTTTGAAAAGACATTTGAAGATAAAAGAATGAACATAATAACTCGGATGACATTTAGGATGCCTCTGTCCATCTATCTCCAAGACTGAGGATTGTGATGAAGAGGAAACTGCATAATTTGACCACGCTATGTGCTGTGAGGTATTTTTCACAGAGCATATTAAGGACCTTATATCAGGATTGTGTATTTAAATGTTACAGCAACTATATGTAAATATTGAATATCTCTGTTTAAATGGTTAGTAAATAAGACATTATGCTTTTCAATGGTATTTTGATAATAATGACTTACTAAAAGTACATTTTCCTTGTTGTAAAACACAATTTAAGATAGAATAACTGAGTCAGAACTGATTCTCTGCTGCTGAACCTGCCTCTTCAAAGATAGTGGGATCTCAATACAACAAACAGCGGATATTCATTTCCAAGTATTTGTTAAAAAAACATGTTTTTTAAAGACCCAGGGTTTAAATTGTTGAAGCAAGTTAATACAGAGCAGTAGTTGGAGATAGAGGACTGGAGGATATTTTTTCCCACTCAAGCCTCAAATACGGGAATCAAATACAAATACAACTCTGAGTGAGCTAATGATAAAGGCGAACCGTTATAACATGGTTAACAGCTCATTAAAGTCAATTTTAGATTACGTCCCCTTTAAATTGTTATTTTAAGGTGTGACTCAACGGTCATCTGTCCCTGGTTCTAACCCCACCCTGAAGGCCAAATGCGTATGTAAGACTTTGTGACGCACTGACAATGCCCATTCTCTGAAGTCAGTTTGTTATTTTTCGCACCAGACATCTGTCCTCATTTAAACTACAATGAACTGTTGAAAATGTAAATATATTTTACCAAAATACACTTTGATAAGATTATTTTTTTCCAGCCATCTTTCTATAATTTATTCATAAACCAATACAGCATTTTTTTTTACACTTAAGATTATTTTGTCTGAGTTCTCGTAATGTGATAATTTTAGCGAATGTGCTAAAAGCCCATATTACACATTATCAACTCAAGCAATTATTGTGCAAATGAATAGGCCACTGTGTTTTTGTCTTGATTTTGACAGCAGTTACAAATTTGCTGTGAAAATAACTAAACAGACCTATTCTGCTTAAATCCTGTGTTAAACCTGTATGTTGTATTTTCAGTTATGGTCTGACAGCCTCTCATATCAAAGGGCTGTTTTGACACTGGGTTGACAGCGCGTTCATGGCTGAGCAGCTATGGCAGGCTGCAGGCAACATTTTTTTAGCTATCAAGTTTTTTTTTTATTTCTTTGCTTGTCCGCACACAAGACTTGGAGATAAACTTGAGACCTGCTACGTCATCTCACTCAAAAAAGTCCCAGATGTCCTGTTCAAATCCTGCATCACTTTAGCGTCCTCTTTTGAAGTCCAGCCACTACCACTACCCACTTTTTAGCTTTCCCAGTGCAGCTTTTTACTGTTATTAAACCTGTGCTTCTACCCCCATGGGCAGAATTGTCTCCCTAATGGATGACAAAATGGGCCACTATCCAGACTCGAAAGTGGGTCAGATAATAGGGATTAGATTTTCCCCTTCTTAACACTTATTCTATTGAGGGCATCTTGATGATTTTACAGTTCTTCGCCCAGAGCAAAGTTAAAGAGAGGCTTCAGAGTCTCTTAAAAGCTTTGGTCTGGCTTTAAAACATCTGCCTGTCTGTGATTAGAATGACCAGTAACTTTCCAGATCAGAGTGTAGACAAGGCAACCATGACTAGGAGGTATGGTTAAACAATAAAGAAGGGGCAACAAGATCATTTTAACTTAGATTTATTCAGAGACATTGACAAATATTACTTAAAAACAACTTAGCATTTAATATCCAATATTGAAAAATGTAAAAGAAATGTAAAATAAAAAATACTTAAGTAATTAAGTATTAAAAAATACTGCCCTACTAAGTAAAGTAGGGCAGGATGATATGGCAAAATAACTAATCACAATTCCGATTAAAAAAAAAAAATTGAATTATTTCTTTTCTAATTCAATCTAAATATATAAATCCCATCAACGTTTATAGAGTAGTCAAAAAGTTAAATTTCCTCCTCCAAGTCTGAACTCTGCTCCAAACCACATACTTTTACTGAGTGAGATTGGCTGTAGACGTCTTAATTAAAAAAAACCAAACAGATAATTGATGATGAGAAATCACTGAATCTTAAACTGTAATAATCTGAAAATAAATAAAATGCAGTCCCGGCGGTGACAGTGAGCAAGAGCCATAGAACCCTTACCATTACTAAACTCAGTAATGGTAACGGTTTGATGGCCCTACTCTATTATCCAAAAAAAAAAAAGAAGAAAAAAAAAAATATATATATATATATATATATATATATATTAAATATAAAAATATATATTATAAAAAATTCCAGATTTTGGCATATCCAGGTGAAGGAATGTAACCCTGGATAGTACATCATCTATACTGTAGTGTCCATTTTATAAACTTACAGTATAAGATGATATCCTGTCCAGAGCACAAGATGTTCCAGTCTCATCCGTCTCATACTCACTCGTTTCTTGGTGTATTCCTTGGTTCAGTTCTTCTTCACTAACACTCATGTGTCTTGGGGTCTGCACTTAAAGACCCCTGGCTCATTTGCATATGGTGATGACGTTTGGGTTGGACCAGACAGTTTTCGGGCATGACATCTCTTATCAGTGGGTGACCAGGATGCGACGCCCTTGCCCTGATATACACCCAACGTTAGGCAACTTTATTTCAACTGAAAATGCAGGTATTAGTGGTCAACCTGCCTATCATTAGTGATTATACTGTTATTTATAGTTACTGCATGTTTCTATTATAACCAACTAGAACTTCTACAATCCATGATTTTAATAATGATGAAAAATTAGGACCTGCTTTTTAAAAGTCTGATATCTTTTTAATGGTGGAAAGTCCTCAAAATATCACGTGTAACCCAGAATCTACAATTGGTTGATGTCATAGGACGGGGCCTGCATAACTCTATGGGAGATTTACGTTTTTTGGAAGAAATATTCAAATATATGATCCATATATCATCACATATTATTGCTTGTTAGGGATTGACAACTCAAACTTGCCAAATTAATCTTATGACTAAAAGTTATTTCAGCAGACAACTATCGTGTCTTTGGTGTTGAATAATGGCACCACTTTTTGAAGCTATTAAAAAAACACTTGTTGATTTATGCTGATGGGGTAGATGTGAACTATGTGGCAGTTTTTGTTTCTTGTGGATACACCTGATAATTACAGAGATATTAAAAATAATTTCTGCAATCTGACAGTTAAACAGCAGATCCCACTTTGGAATTCTGACCTTCCATTTAAAACTATTGAATTTCTTGTGAATTCTCACATGTATGAAACCTATGGCTGGGTTTCACATGACATCATAACATTTTATAGGCCAGTGTTTGATAGAGACAGAAGCATTTTTGTTGTAATACAGTGACTTTTTGGGTTTAGTCAATAATAGAAAGGATAGTCTCATGGTCACATTTTTATTCTTTTTTTCCACCTTCAGAACTCAAAGAGTTTTACATCAAGAAACCACACACATTCACATGCCAGTGTAGGCAGACCCCAGGGGTGAGGGGGGTTAAGTGTCTTGTCATGTAACTACAGCATTCATCTGGGAGCTGGAATTGCACAACCAACCAGCGAATCAGTGGATCTGACCGCTCAAACAGTGATGTTTATGTTGAAAGCGGGATTCAACCGCCAACCTTTGAATCAGTGGACAAACACTGATCTACTTTTGCCCACAGATCAGGTCAGTAGTTCTGAATTTACCTTTTGGATATTTCATGGCAATGTACATTGTTATCAGTAGAGGAAGCTGACTCTTGCCCCCATCTGGGAGCATGACATCGTCCCACTGTAGAGTCTGAAAACCACCAATTAAGCCACAAGCATTACAAGACCAGAGCTAGAGTTTGGGAAATTCTCTTACCCAGTTAAAACAATTCCCTTAAAGGTGCACTGTGTAACTTTTGTGGTGGAAGGTCTACCACCAGCTTGCTTCCATGGAGATGTTTTTGCTTTACCTGGTATGTTCCACAGTATGGCATTAAGCATATCTATTTCCACTGTAACATGTAACTAATGCTACCAGGCCAAGACCAAGTTACAGGTCAGATCTGTGGAGATATTACGCTGCTTACGGTATGAATGTATATTTTTCGTTGAACTTACGCATTCAAAAACACCTGTAATTCTATTAAATGTAAGATTTAAGTTTAATGTTAAACTATGGAACATTCAAGTCAAAGCAGTATCATCTCCATGGAGACACACAAGTGGCAAATTTTCCATCACAAAAGTTACACAGTGTGCCTTTAAGGTATTTTTGACATTTTAATATTCCCAGGCAGTGTCAGTGTTCCCCTCCATTTGTCAGATTTTATTCTCGACTAATTGAAGGCAGCAGAGATGAGCCGATGATCTCAGCTGTAACAGATTGGAGCTTTATGTCATAATTTGCCAATAAATCTAACCTCCACTGACTCTTAAAACCTTCTTAATCCTATATCCTGTGGATTTATGTTCCAAGATCTGAATTTAGTGCAACTGTATCTCATTGGATGTCATGTTATTACAAGATTTGGAGGCATTATCAGATAGACAGTGCTAGATCAGTTTTTGCTCTCTGTCACATAGGAACACTATATCTATCAAATAATACAGCGAGTACATTTTGGTGTGCGTACTAAAATTGCCGCAGTGCTTCGTAGAAACTATTAAAACCAAATCTTCTTCTCGGGTGACGCTGATAAATACACATGGGGCAATGCTCAGTCATTAACATAAATATTCACAGTGCACCCTCAGCCTCAGTCAGATTTGCACCACTGTTTTAAGGTCAAGTTCATTCATCATGTAGCTAAAAGTTTTGAGAATAAGATGCATGGGTGTTATTGTTAGTATGAATACATTATGGTAAGAGATAAAGTAACACAAAGAATTAAAGGAGCACTATGCTACTTTTCTAGTGTGGGCCATCTGTCTCTGTGGAGATCTGTGCGTTTGCTTTGCCTGAATGTTCTATGGTATGGCATTAACTTATCTATCGAGACAACCAGGTTCACATCTGTGAATAGGTGATCCCACTCATGGTAAGAAATGCATGCTTTTATTTATTTTGGGGCAATAAAAGCTCTTGTAATTGAATAAATGCAAGACGAAATTAGTAGCGTAATTCCAGGGAGAATCCTCTCAATGGAGCCAGACTAGACAGATATAGACAGTATAATCTAAATTTTGCTTGACTATGCTACAAAAATATTTCCCCCTAATCCTGAAGTTGGCAATTAGATCCCTGTTCTTGAGTCCTTGGGCAAGACAAGACACTTAACACTCCTTGCCTCCTCAGATAATGAATAAGTGAGTGATTGCTTTATTAGACTTAGATTTAAACTTTATTGATCCACAAGGGAAGTTATTTGGACATGATGTAACATGCACTGAAAAGCTAATGACCATAGGATTATTTATCTACTTTTTTCTATCAGTTTTATCTGTCCTGATGATGATGTGTGAGTGAAAGGGTGAGTGGTTCCTTGATGTAAAGAGCTTTGAGTGCCTGTTGGAGCTAGAAAAGCGGTATATAAATGTAACTCTTTACTATTTATGCTACAAGGCCAGTTTTGGTGGGACATGTGGGTCACCATGGCAACGCGCTCCCTTGTTTGGGCGTGGGAGCTGACAGTGGGTGTGAGTGGTGTTCTAGTGCGAGCAGATAAACAGAGAGGTAAGACTATCTGGGGCTGGCTATCCGTTCATTCTGTTATCTGCACCAGCAAGGCCACATTTGCATCAGGAGATAAGTGCTGTAGCAGTGAATTCCAAAACTGTTGTTATATTTTACTTTTTATTGCCGAAACAGTGGTTCAAAGTCTTAATGAGCAATTTGCTGTGTCATTTGGCTGTGGTTACATTCTTGAATTATATAAGAAGAGAGTTAGTTTTTGAAATAAATATCCAAACTTAGTCTCCACAGATGGACTGGCTTCACAAACTTACCATTTTCATCTTAACTCTGTAGGGTTGAATAATAACACATTTTGAAGGTACTTTTTGTTGATTTCTGCTGAGAGTGAACTTCTTGTCAGTATTTGTTTCATGTGGATAGGTCCAATAATTTGAGATACTAACCATAAACTAGAACAATCTGAATCTGAAAACTGACAGCTAAACAGCAAATAACTCCATTTAATTCTGACCTGTCCTCCGGGTCAGTTTTAAAGGGATTCTGCAATATTATATCAATTAATACAAAAATTAAAATAGTTGAAAGCTGCCTCTTTTTGTTAGAAATGATAATAAAATTAAATTTTTGAAATAAGAATACAATTTTGCAATAGTTTTCCACTGTGTTAAAACAATCATATGTCATTTTATCTAAAGAGAAGCTCAGAAACACCTTGAAAATGTGATCTTTATTTCAATATTTTTGTGTTGCAGACAGACACTGAGGGTCTATGGCATTTGTACAGGGTCACACACAAGATAAGGTGGATTATATGAACACATGCTGTAGATGCTATGGCTGATACATACAATTTTCCAACGGCCAGTGTTAGATAAGCAACATATTGAAACAGTTATATTTTACTGCGTTATACTTCCAGACAAGAGTAATATAAGGCATAGGTCTCTAGTGTTTGGTCTCTCTCACATGACGACAATGCAAAACTTGGATTTAATTTCAGTAAATGTTAGTTTATTACAAACGCTAGTAATTTATGATCCTTAAATAGACACAGTAACAGGTGGAACATGTAATTTCTTAGTATGTATAAAGCTCACATCTACCACACCATTTTTAGTTAAAATATCTTGAAGGGTTTGACTTGAGGCACTGTCTGTCTACACATATAAGCTATTTCATAGGGCCAGAAAATTGTAAAATTAGAATAGAGATTTGAATCAGAGAGCCACAATGAATTAAGTATAGTTTACCAAAATACTGGCCCTTTGAACCTGAAATTATGACATTCATTACAAAAGCTGATTAGGAGGATCACTAACTTAAACTTCACAATATTATTCACAATTAGACATCTGAGTTCTAACAGTGCTGATAAACATTTGAAGAGGATTACACAACTAATATCATTTTTACAATAAAAAATACAAGTATAAACTGAAAAAAGTCGCCAATGCCCCTGAAAACGTAGGCATGTCACAGATTTCTTGAAAGTGGAACTGCAGAAATATCATATAAGCTCAAATGAACAATGCAAAAAAGAGGAGCGACTACATCAGGCAACTTTTCTCCAACTCTGCCCTCTAGAGGCAAAAGCGTTCACATTGAATTTAACCTGTCCGTGTCACATAAAACAACACAAATGGTAAAATGAAATCACTATTTTAGTAGGCCTTAAAAATCGGTGTAAATCGGTAGTGGTGATGCTATCAAATATTCAGTTCAAGATTCAGTCAAAAAGCTCTTTCTTTATGTACCAGCAGATCACATGCTAAACTTCCATCTAAAAAACAAACAAACTGCATCACACCATTTTATTAGCAGCCTACGAATTAGACTGTAAAGTACACTGTGTAGCTTTTCTGGTGGAGGGTCAACCACCTGCTTGATTTTGCTTTGCCTGGAATGTTTCACAGCTCTATCTCCATGGAGACAAGCAAGTGACTCAACCAGTCCAAATTACAGGTCAGATCTGTGGAGAGTTTTCAGAATAAACAGAGTACACTATGCAAGTATAAACCAATACTGTGGAACATCTCAGGCAAAACAATAACATCACAGATGCCCTACCAGAAAAAAGTTACACAGTGTACCTAATTAATAATGGCCTAAAATATTGTCACAGAAAATTAGAGAGGATGTGTATTGGTAAAATTAAAGCTTACACCCTGTCCATCTACTATTTGCTACTTGAGGTAATAGTAATATTCAGTTAGCCTGGCAGGTTACCAGAGTTTTAAGATGGCTCTATGGCTTTAGTACATGTAATGAAGTGTGAAAGTAGAAAAGAAGAACTGTTAGTAAAAGTGTGTACATGTTTACAGTCTATTGACAGAACACAGTGGCATACTATACAAATAAATCTAAAATAAAACCAAAAGTATTCCTAAGTTTTGGGCACTTCAGTGGTGAACAGGCACTGCACAGTAGAAGAAATGTAACAATGAACCAAATAGTTTTACAGCAAGAACAAGAAGATCCACAAAACCCACTTATCTCCTTCTACAGTAAATAAAAACGCAATTTGGAGTCTACTTGATAAGCAGTGCAAACTAAAACTGTTGAGACAAACAACATTCAGATTTACAAATAAAATTTTAACGTCTTGCCCCTTTACACATTTGCTTTAATCTATTAGTCTCCCAAATATACCCCATGTAGGAAGTGAACTAAACATATTATTACAGCCTAAATCTGGTCTAAAATAACAACTAAAAATGTTAATAGTCTGGTCCTTATGGTAAAAGGCCCCAGCAACATGAAAATTAAAACTTCATAAAAATATAAAATGTGTTATTTTGGTGTCTCTTGTCAAATAAACTTGCATAAATGGGTCTGAGGTTGAATATAAGAGACATGTATTTTCATGCTTGAGGCAGGTGAGAGTGGAGATGTCAAACTGCAGCCGCTCCAGTCATCTTCTGTAGCAGCGGCATCTGGAGGGAGAAATAAGTGAAGCTCTTGTTAGGAGAAAAACAAATATGAAAAATCTACTTTGATGAGCTTTTAACAATGTGCCTTATTGACACCATGTTACTATGGTGCACTGTTTTATTTATTGTTTTTGCCAATTCCTTGTAGACAACGTTCAAACAGTTTAGTTTTAGTTTAACTTACCTTGGTCAGATCCACCCCAGTGAGGGCATTCACCGACACAGGGAGCTCGGCTAAGAGGCGCGTCACCTCTCCAGTCACACGGTTACCGTCTCCACTCAGGATCACGATCTCATTGGTCTTAGCCAATGGTGCAGCAACTTTACCAGCAATCTAAACAAACAAAAAAACATCAAATTAGACACAAATTCATTCAATTCAAAAAGAAGAGTAGAGTCCATGATTTAAGAAAACAGAAGTTGGGGCTCAACTATCTAAAACATGAATAAAATAAAATGATAGCAGTCATATGTGGCAAGTTGCATGTGAGGGTGTGAGCTGAAATGGTTGACCGGTGGGGAAAGGGCTGTGGTGGAACATTGACAGTTTTGTTTAATCCTGGTCTTCAACTGTTAGAAGAGGAATGCCAGAAGCAAAAATCTAAACTCAAAATTTCTATATCCTCACTTTTCTGTATTGTATTGCAGTTTTATACAAAAATAATAAACACTTAGATTGTGAAAAAAAAAGAAAAAAGACGTTGGTTTGTCTTTAAATATCTAAAACACAACCCTGTAAACCAACAACCAAACCTCTCACACTCACAATGTGGCATATGAGGGGTTGAGCAGTGCCATAGTTTTTTGTTTATACTTGTTTCCAGCTTTTTTTGTGTTTAAGTTATTGTTTTTGGAGTTGTTTGTCTTTTGAATCCTTATAAATTTAGAAAATGATTTTGTAGTTCACATTATAAAGAAAACTGGGGTTAGGGTGTGTCTGCACATATGTCCTTAATAAAAAATGTAAGATTTCATAAACATGAATTGAATGATGTTATAGCATAAAACTCCAGCAGACCTTGGGCAGAGCCTCCAGGACCAGAGCAGTCTTGGCAGCGTCTCCGTACTGTTGATAGGCCTCTGCCTTCAGCCTCATCTTCTCGGCCTCAGCTTTACCCACAACCTCGATGGAGTTGGCTTCAGCTTCTCCAATACAGCGGATCTTCTCAGCTTCAGCCTGAGCGGTCAGCACCTTCTTGATCCTGAGACATGGAGAGGAACATTTATAAAGAGGAGAAATATTTAAAGGGCCTATATTATGCTATTTTATAATCTATGGTGTAAGGTTGTTTCCTCATTAAAAACAGACCTGAAGTTGTGTTTTGTTTCTTTCACACATGTTTAACACACAAACCCTGCATATTTAGGCTGAGTTCTTCTCTCAAACTGGAAATAGTCCCACCTTTTGATGTCATGTGGAAATAAAGGAAGTACTCCACTGTGTTTTTAAACTCCATCTAACATCTAACTCCATCTACTGAACTAAAGGACAAAGGTAGCTGTTAACCTGGGTGTAATCATCCATCCAAGACTGGTTAATGGTAAAAAGGGTTCAAAGGTTGTCATGGGGAACTGGGCCCAAAATTATTCTAGTGGGTTTCAGGTTATAACTAATCTGCAACAAGGCAGTATAGATTTTTTTCTATCAGATTGCAAATGACTTCCATTGGAGTCGAAACACCCTGATTTAAAAAACATTGTCCAGGTTACTTCCTCTGAAACCTCTGCTACTGAGTATGAACCTGATGCGATTTCACACTTACTTCTGTCCCTCTGCGATCTGCTGCATCTTATAGGCCTCTGCCTCCGCTGGCCTCTTCACTGTAGCAATGAGCTCCTTCTCAGTACGGTCGATTTCCTTCTCCTCGATGGTGATCTGCTTCTTCCTTTGCACCACCTCGATCTCAATCTCCTCCAGACGGATTTTCTGCTGCTCTTTGGCAGCTTGGAGCTCGTACGCCAATTGAGCCTCTGCTTTCTACAAAGAGAACTTTTTAATTTAATGTGACTGTCCCCAATTTTCTTTCATGCAGTTCATCAAAATTTGTTTTTACCCAGTACAGATATATTGTGAAATCACTTCTTGAGGTTAAAATGAGACCGTAATGTGCTATTTGCATCTAATTATAACGCTTTATATGGTCTTAGAATCAGGAAGTATACTGTTAGTATGCTGGCTGCTCATTAGATTTACCGTGTTGGCATTGAGATACAGTAAAATTCAGGAACAGCACTTTAAATAGCTAATATAAACAATATATAAGTACAATGTTCAATGCATACCTTTGTGTTAACTTCTTGATTGAAGGAAGCTTTCTGCATTTCCAGTTCTCGTTTGGAATCAGCCATTTTTGTGTCAGCCAGAAACTTGACATCCATCATTTCTTTCTTGCACTCAGCTTCCTATGAGACAGTAAAATACAGACCACGGTCACCAACGTCACACTTGTTACCCCTCACATTTGACTTTACATTGAAAAAGGTCACCCTTCTCTCTATAAACCTCGTCAGTGAACCACACCATTTTGGTCTTAAAATGTTCATTTTAACCCATTCTACATGATGCTGATGTTTTTATTTTGCTATGTCTAATTTGTTCATGAATAAATTCCTATTCCTAATAATATGAACTTCAAAACTTCTCAAAATTTGCTCCTATAAGTGATAGCCTTGTGAGCCTCATTCACTGGAGCCGAAGCTACGGGTGACATTACACTCGCCAAATCCACTTCTTTACAGTCAGTGGTATGAACGCACTCTTAATTATCTGGAGAGCATTAAATTCTATTTTTATTCTATTCTATTTTTATTATTTGTCATATGAACTTACCCTTATCCCTGCATCTCTCTCCGCCTCTGCCACACCGATGTCTGCATCCCTCTGCACAGCTGCTGTCTGAGTTTTCCCCAGTGAGCTCAAATAATCCACTTTATCATAGACATCCTGTGGTAAAGAAAAACATACATATTATTTTCCATTACTTTTCAAAATTGTCTAAGTTAAGTATTGTTAAAATGTGTTAAACCTTGATGGTAAAACTGAGGATCTCAATCCCCATTCGGCAAACATCTGGAGCTGCGACTTCACGGACCAGAGTAGCGAACTTGTCACGGTCTTGGTAAATCTGCTCAACAGTTAGAGTACCTGAAGGAAAGAAAAAATTACTTTATATTAAATATTAAATGCAAAAGACATCAAATATATTAAGCAAGATGTATGGAATTAGTAGTAGTAGTAAATAAAATATATATTTATTAGTGGTAGAGCATTAGAGCATTTTTTTCTTTGCTACATAATCCCATACACCTTACTTCAAATATTTGATGTCTTATGTATGTATATAAAATGTAGAAAGTAAAGAAAAAAACATTGAGATGCCGTGTCCAAACTTTTGATTGGTGGTGTACATACAGATACAATTCACACCACAAATAATATATAACCAAAGAAAAGTTTAAATCTTTAGACCTAACCGCTGTTGCAGACTTGTCTTGCCCTGAATCTATCACAGCGAAATAGCGTAAAATCAAGTACACAAGCATGTCTTCAGTTAAAATGTCCCTTGTTTTTGTTAAACATTTAAAAATACAAAACCATGGAAATTTCAACAAGACGCTCGCATCCATGTGTATGTATGTATTTGTAGATGAGGCACCCACCGAGAATGGCACGGAGATGACCCTCAAGAGTCTGCAGGACGACGCTCTTGATCTCCTGGACAGATTTGCCCAGAAACTGTTCACAGGCGTAACCAAGGAGATCATTGTCCGTCATCACCTTCACCTAAATCAAAACAGACTGCATCAGATTAAGAGAGTCTCCAGACCTAAATACTAGCACATCTGATATCACAAACTGACCCAGTAGTTCAATATAGAAGCAAGAAATTACTGTATGTGGACCATTCAAAATACATGATTGTAATCAGTATATTAGGATTAAAATTTGTATAAGAAATATGAAACAGAATTGGATTAACTAATGAACAAAGGTCATAATACTCATGTAGTAATGCAAATATGTAGCACTTACTTATATTAGCATATATTTGTGATCTTGTTGTGTACTAAAATTGCACACTTGATTACAATATTAATGAAGAAGCCCAATACAGATTTCAATATCACATTAATAATCAAATATTATTACTTTAGACAACAAAATGTAGTTATCAACACAAAATAAAAGTTGTTTCTCAAGTAGTTCCATGTGGTCTCATCCTCATTCTGACATAGATTGAAGGTCCTGTTTTACATGAAACTGAATGAATGACTCTAGTGAGTTTTATACATCCTCAAAAACATAACTGGAGTTCCGTTTTGTTTTATTAACACACGTTTTGAGTAATCCTGGTTTATTAGTCTATCCACATCTCCAAAACTCAAAATGCTTGAATAAAAAAAACAACAACTCCATGTTTGTTTTTGATGAGGAACTTTATAACATGGATCAGAAAAATAGCATAAAAATTTTAAAACTATACAGAGAAGTTCAAATTTTGTTCATTTTCTTCGATTTTTTTTTGCAGTATCAATAATTATTCATGTGAGCATCTAGATCTGAGCCTAGTTCTAGTATCAACTAGTATCTGGTTATTGATACTTTTGACAACTCTTTAATATTGTCTAAAACTCAAAAATAGAAAATATTTTTAAAAACATGAAGCTAAACAGCAAAAAACAAAAAAAAAACAAAAAAAAACAACTTTGGGTGTAACTCCACTGCTGCTGAAAGAGAAGAGAGGTGAGCTGGGTCCTTAGGCGAGAAGTCCGTACATGCACACATACCAGGGGTCATGAGGGCAACACAATGTCAGGGAGAGATGAAGTCATTCTCAAAATAAATCAATAAATAAATAAAATCTGAAAACACAAGGGCCACAAGTCCACAGGACAACCACACTCAGCCTGTAGGGGGAGCTGTGTGGTTGCAGGCACTGGAATATGGCTTGTGGGAAGTGATAATGTAGTTCCTGGAAATCTGGCCTTCCTGCCCCACCCCTTTGTAAAACCACTCTTCTGCCTCAAGCTAAACAGAATCACATTATTAAATCAGAGATGCACTTTATGATTGAAACAAGTCTTCATAGAGTCCCATTTCAACCTAAACCTTAAACACTTGAGATCATGAGATACACACACCACAATGACTATGGCTTAGGTTGGATCAATCAGACGGAGGCTCGATGAGAAGTGAAATGTGCAAAAGTGTGGGTTATTGAACTGCAGACACTGGCCCACTGTCAGCATGCACAACATGGAAGAGGTTGTTGCCAAAATACACTGACTCGCAATGAAAGTAACACAGGCATGCCCACAAAAGCACATGTGCAAACAAAACACAAATGTTAGGTTAAACCGTAAAATCCACCACAAACAAAAGCAGAACTGATTATTGATTAAGTTATTTTAATGTAAATAAACAACAATACTGTACAGTCCAAATAAATAACATATGTTTATGGTTGTACAAAACCAGAACTGGTGGATTTTTCTTACTATGTGTAATGACTTATTTGGCACTGAATATGAAATGAGTAATGCAAGAAAGATTAGAGCTGGGTGATCTCTGGGCAGTGATATGAAGCTGTTTAGTAACAGATTAATTCAAAGTGGACTATACTCCACTGGCTGTGGAAACAAACTCTTTTCGTCAACAGTGACTCTGATTTGATGATTAATTTAGTGACCACCCAGTTCTGTCTGATGAGGCTTCATAGACTCTGGCCCTGTCAGTTAAGACTGTCAATAGCACTGTGCTCACAAACACAAAGAAACCTGTGATTAGAGTAAAGGTTCACCTTTCTTTACAAACAAGATGTGCACGCTTCAGTTACTGATTTAGTCACAGTGCTATTAATCAGATGGCACACTAAAAACTAAGTATGTAGTGAAAAGACCATCATGCTGATATGAAACTGTGAAGAATATCTAAGTGAAATGTCCACATGAATCCTTTGTGGACCTGGTGGAGAGTGTGCGTGCGATTAGTCAGGTCTGAAGTGGCATTCCCTGCAAAGTGTGGTGCTTTACCTGAGCCACCCCAGTGACAGTAATAGCTACACCCTCCGCTGTCTCTACATCCTCACACTTGGGCTGCAGGGTCATAATCTCAAGCGTTATCCTGTGAAGAATGTGGAAAATATAAAATAAAAATTGGCATGTTGGGAGGGAAAAGCAAATGAAGGGAGGGGCTAGGAAACAAGGAACAATCCCTTTCACCCAAGGACTCCAGTTCACAAACAACAGGGTCAACTGAGATGCTTATGCAATGTAAATGTTATTTAAATGCTTTTAAATGTCTTTGTTAGATTAGCACTTCTGGCTGTTCAATTAAACCAATCATCTCTATAGATTTAAAGCATTCGGTGACTCTGTTGCATTATGTGACTCAGAGACTTTATGACCAAACACCTGACTGCCTCCTTTAAACTGCAGGAGAGAAACATCATTTATAATAAAAATGAAAACACAGAGTTAGCGTTTGTTAGTGAAGCGGTACATTTTCCTCCAGTCCGGCCACAGACCCAGATTTTTGGGGTCTTTTGGGGTCTTGGCGAGATGGATTACCTGAGCTACCCCAGTCACATCCAGGGGCACTCCCTCCGCAGTTTCGATATTCTCACAGCGACAGAGGATGGTCATAACCTCCAGAGACATTCTGTGCAGGCAGCAGATGAGCGGAGGGGACAGTAGAGGCAAAACAGTGACATGAACAACAGCTGTTAGCAGTGTCAGTAACAGGGTTAAGGGAGATGAGGGAAGAGACCTGTATTTTGGAGAGTTTCTGGACCTTATTGGGGAAAAAAAAATAAATAAATCAACAAAATAGACCTAGGGCTGAAACTAGTGATTATTTTAATATCTTGGAGATATTTGGGCACTTATTACCTTCAGCCAAAAAGAAGGTTAAGCTTTCTTACATATTAAACGACCATGAATCTTTGATTAAGCTGTGACACAAATCTATCTATATATTTCAACTAGGGCTATGCAATCAGTTCGAACTGAATTTCAAATACACATGTGATTATTACTCTAAACATGGCTATAAGGTATTATTATCAGTATTATAGCATGTTTACAACAGTCTATTTCAAAGTGATAATGCCGCCTAGGCCTGTCACAATAACACATTTTGAAGTGCGATATATTGCTAAGTAAATATAGATGATAAAAAATAATATTGAAACTAGTTTATGCCACGGACACAAAAACCCAAGAGCAGATTTATACCACAAAATCTATTCTAAAGCTACAATACTTTTAAATAATCATGAGCTGCACTGAATAAATTGGATAAGGAAACACTTTAGTACTTAGTTTTCATCTGTAATGAGTCATAGATAAAAGTGATTACTTCAGCCTTCGACTGCTCAAATCTTATCTTAGTGCCTAAAAATAACCAAACATTTCCCAATAGTGCAAAGAAAAAGTACACACAATAAACACTGACCACCCAAAAAATGGTTCCATCAAACATATATTGAAAGATAAGTCAATATAGTGATTATCATGACAGGCCTAACGTTTTTCAAGCTCACTACCACCTTCTGTCTTAAGCAAATAATCATGATTTTATTTTTTTCCATAATCAAGCAGTCCTACTTTCAGCCCATTCTTACACCATACATCATCAATACTGAAAGGAAAGTACTAGATTTCCTAAGATTCCCTTCAAACACTGTGATCATGGGTATAATTTCACTGGTGACTATCACTGCCTGAGAGTCAGATCTATGTGAGTGGTATATCTGCAGTCCAGAGGAGCGCCTGGTCTCTGCTGCCCCTCCCTTTCTTCTTCTGCAGAATTGGATCAATGTGTCATGGCTTGAACATTAACATGATTACTGCATCACAAGCAGGAAGTCCTTCTTGGTTTTATGGTGCCACTGGCTTCTACCCAAGGCTTTTTTTTAACTGAAGTGGCCTAGGTAAACATCCTTTCTTATTTATCAAACGGAAATCTACACATGAAAAAATATAATGATAAAAATTGGAATTGAAATATGGGTGGGGTTGTAATCATACCTAAATTACACGTGGGTAAGCTAGCCACGTGGACTCTTTATCATACAGTCTCTTAGTAACACACAAGCACACTGGACAGGAGGTGGGACTACAACAATCAAACGACTAATGAGGAAAAAGGAGAAGCACAAGACGAGGCAAAAGGTTAGCAAAACACTGGCTATGTAACACAAAACACTAAACAGCACAGTATTTAAAACCAGAATGACTGGAAAATAAAGCAGATATTCAACAGCAGATGTATAAAATGTATATAATTTAGCTCTAAAAATGAGAATGGATCAATCAGCCAGTCTATATTGTTTTTACATTATTTTTTATATTATTTTACAGCTTATTCTGGTTTTAACACACATAACACATAAAATGCAGAGGAATAAATGTTGGCACAGTAACCCTTCAATAACTATTTACAACCTACTAAAGCATAAAGAAAGACTTAACTCATAATGAGAAAATAGTTTATTAAAATGATTCAGGCTTAGTAACTACTAAATTAAGTGGTCATAGTAGTAATTAAGCAGTCACTAACTAAGCCTGAATCATTCTAATAAAAAATGTGTTCTTTATTAATTAAGTCTTTATTTATTGCTGTATTATGGCTAATTAAAGTGTAGATACTATAAAGTGTAACCTAAATGTTAAATTACTAGAGCTTTTTAATTTTCCCTGACCCCTCCATTCTGCACCAGGTGTTTATTTTTCCACTGTTTTGCTGAGTCCATGTTTATAAAGGGCAGCTGAAACCATGGACTTGATTTATTTAAACCTTTGGCAAATATTATCGATGTTGTTTCTTTTAATTTATCATAGACATCACACTGACTATCGCGTGCATGCTGTCAAAACACACCTCGATGTAATGCTGAATTTACTATTTAAAATTACCTCAACAGGTCAAACCTCATACAACATCTCAGTGTGTAGGCTACTAGTGATTACGCATCTCTTCCAAGTATTGCTTCTAGCTTACTGGTAACTGGGCATTAACATTGTAATTTGATTCCTAATACTAAAGTTTCTCAAATTCAAACTAATAAGCTTTGTAGTTTCAGTATTTTAGACATGTACTGTATACCGAGACTATAATGGCACAAGTGATCTAAATTTGAATAATTTAATTTGATACACATTTGTAGCATAAATTACACTTATTGCTGATCTAAAAAGCACTGTTTACAGATTTAACATTGTTACTTTTATACATTTAATATTACAATCATAAAATATCATTTGTATCACCAGTTTCTTGTTTAGCTTTTTTTTTTTTTTTTTTTTTAAATAGTAACCTGTCTCCTTTTTTAAAGGGAAACTATACAGATTTGTTGGTTAGAGCCTCTACCGATTTTGTCTTTAGGTAAAAAACACTGGGCTTGCTACACTGGTTCTCTTATCTTTTGTTTAGTATTTAGCTGTAGTTGCATTATAAACAATAACCCCCCATGAAATATGACTCCATGCTTGTGCAGTAAAAGGATGTGTTTTGCTAGTTTTTTATAAAATATATTATCTGACCCTGCACACTATAGTCAGTGTGGATTTACTCCCCGGGTGAGATCCCCTCCTGGCGCGCTTGTGTCTTGTTGTCTTAACTAAAAGTTTCATGATTTTACCTGCCTAACGACAACAGATGAAGTTTAGCTACTACACTAACTGTGGCATATGTGGGATCTTGCAGCTTTATGCACTCTACCTCAAACTATGCACTGTCTGCTGCTCTAATTTTGTTGTTTTTCTATTCAATAAAATCTTGAATCTTTGCATATATGTTGAAAACATGTTGTTAAAGGTCCTATATAGCGCAAAATAGACTCTTGTAAGCTTTTAAAAGCCATGTTTTAACATGCTAAACGCTTACAAGTTGTTACCTGCTCAACAAGATGCATGGAGATGTGTTTTGTTTAATTCACACATTAGAGTTACCCTGCATTATTTGTCTGTTCCAACTTGTGATATCATGAAGCAGTCGTTTTCAAGCTAACACCTACCTTTTACCTTTTGTTCAGTAGGGACTGGCAATTTCATGGCAAAAATTATCCAAAACTTCTAGTGAAGGTGTACGGAGTTTAAAAACACATTGGAACTCTGTATTATGACATGGCATCAAAAGGTGAATGAAATGTTTTGAATTTGAGAGAAGAATACAGTCTAAATATGCAGGATTTGTTAATGAAATAAAACACAACTGCAGGCATGTTTTTGATGAGGAAACAACATTATAACATAGATCAGAAAACAGCGCAATGTGGGCCCTCTAAATACGTACTATCCCTATTCAAATAATAATACCTAGAGTAATAGTTGATCTGCATGGACTAGTCTTACCTCTGGATGTCGGAGATGAGCCACCAGGCCCAAGCCCAGCCTCCCACCACATACGTCTTCTGATCAGAGCCACAGCAGCCACCTAAGGACACCAGAAACACACGTCACTCTGGCAGCCATTTAACAAAAGCGCAGAGTAAAAAACACTGTGCCCCAACAACTTAGCAGTTGAGGAGTATAATTACGTAGATTTAGATTTAGACAAATTTAGCTGATCCACAAGGGAAATTGTTTCTGACACAGCAGCTCAAACATTACAATATTATAACAAAGAGCAAAAAATACAAAGTAGATAGAGATCAAACTGAACATGAGAAATCATTAAAATCCAATTAAGATTATAATTTAGATTTTTATAACTAACTGATTTTATAGATTAGATTTAAGTCTAGTATTCAATAATTATTTATCTTTTATTTTGACTAAATATTCCTTTTCTCTTGCTGTTCTTGAACTGTGCAATGCAACACTGGAATTTCCCCATTGTGGGACAAATAATTAAAAATTATCTTGTCTTGTATGTTTGAGCTACTGTCAATGAATCCAAGTTTGTCAAGATCTAATAGTGGGAAAACGGAAGGACATTGAATTCAAAAGGTAAAACAATGGTAGGTCTGTCACAAAAACACATTTTGAAGTGGGATATATTGCTCAAGTAAATATAGACGATAAAGAGTAATATTTAAACTACTTTATGACACTGACAAAGTAACTCTAAAGAAAGGTTACACTCACATAATTTTCTATTCTAAATGTACAATATGGTTACAAAATTAGCTGCAATAAATAAATAAATAGAAGAATGCAACATTTTAGTTTGTATCTCTATAAATGAGTCATAGAAGTTCTCTTATCTTATGGTATTGCCACAAAAACCAACAGAACATTTCCAACTAGAATATTGTCCATTGATCATATTTTGAACTATAAGTTGATATTCTTTCTGACGGGGCTAAACAACGGTAATTACTCATAATATTTATGGAACCATGTACTTTTACTGACTCCAACCTTGTGATGAAGATTCCTTGACTTTAGACTAGAGCCCGACCGATACATCGGTTGGCCGATATTATCAGCCGATATCGGCACCTGGAGGCATATCGACTATCAGCCGATATGTTTGGTGATATGGGCCGATATTTCCCGTGGGCATGTTATACCTCGTTATAAAGCTTAGACTCTCTACATTATGTTCATTTAATCCAATTTACAGTCAGATAAATGTCCTAATATGTGGCTCTGCATCAGTATTTATCTGTGGAGTCATTTGTCAGTGTCTGTGTCCGTACTGTCCCTGAACTAGAGATGCGCGGATTGCGGTTACAACCGCGGTATCCGTCGGGCGGACGATGTGACGAAAAATTTTATTTTTATTAAATTCGGGCGGGTGGCGGTTTAACTACTAAAAAAAAAATAAAATAAAATAAAAAATTTTTTGTATTGTTACCTACATCTGAAAAGACGAGTCTCATTGTCTGTGCTTGTAGTATGAAGTGTATGTCATATCCTTAATTAGCCCATTTGACTTTGTTTTTATGTTCTGAAGGTTAAGGTTGTGTCGGGTTATTGATAGCCTAAGGTTTACGAGGCACATATTATATGCAGTTTGTTTTATTATTTCTAATTTATTTCAGCTGTTTGCCAACATACAAGTGGCTATAGGGCCATATTTATTTAATTATGCATATTTTTTCTTGCCTATTTCAATTGGAATATAAAGAGGGCATTGCCTGATTTCAATAAATGTTCATCTGAATGAGATGATCTGTCTATTTTGTTTCAATATCAGTTATATTTTAAAACACGCAGACATTATAGCGTAGACTGCCACTCGGGGTATTTAAAACTTAAAGAAAATCCATACCGGTCGGGCTCACTTTAGACATCTAGTTTTAAAGCTCTAGACTGGTCCACATACGAACAAATGACTTCTGCTTCACCTACTAACAACTTTTCCAGACATGTAAGCTGTAAAATCATAAAATGTGAAAACTTGTAACTCAGCTGTTTTTAGACAGTGATCATGTGCTATAAGAACAGTTATTCTTTTTAACAACAGTTTTTGCCAATGATTTACCATTTCCCTTTACTTTATCTTTACTACTGGCACTGTCCTGGTATGGCTTGGGTCTCCTTCTTAAACGTGTAACCCCTTTAAAGCCTACATAGTTTTCTGATTTGTCTGGCATTATGTGAATGACCTATTATTTGAAGATATTAGGTTTCATGAACACTTCTAATTTTAAGACTTAACAGTGAGAAATTTGCTTTTAAAAATAAAGCAGTGAAGTTGCCCATTCAAAGGTCCAGAGTGCTGTTAAATCTGGTGTGACATTCCCAGCTGTCACATGTTAATGGACAGACAGAAAAGGAGGAGGACGTGTGTGTGTGTGTGTGTGGTGGGGGGTTTCATAATTTTAATATTTCCTAATTTATGTAAACTGAGATTGAATTTAGAGAGATGTAACACACAGAGCAAGTCAAATCAAGCTTCAAGTATCAAAAAACTAGAGAGACAGACTAAAACTAAAATGGCCTATAGGAGGACAGGCTATTATAGGCCCATCCCTCCCAGGCATAATTGGAATTCCTGACAGCATTCACTCCAAGGAGAATGGTGAGGGGCCTAAATAGCTAAAAATGTAATCAATTCTAAAAGTGTTGTTTTTGTATATGGTAGGTTATAGCATTGTGTTTCACATAAGTTATGAGACATGAAAATGATACAATTATTCATATATTTCACTTGTAAAGAATCTGTGCCATTGCCAAATGAGGAGGGACTTGACCTTAATCTGCAGTCCTCTAGTGGTGAATGATGCATTTGTACACAATGGAAAATCCCAAACAACATTTTGTGTTTGGGTTCAGCAAATGTGGGTTTAAACAGGAAACCCAACAGAAACCAAATCAGCTGCAGGAGTGCAGTAGAAATCCTGTTCTGCAGGGCTTTGCCAAATCAAATTATGAAAATGAATCAGGGCTTTATATAGAGAAAAAGGCCAGAGATTCCTCACAGCTTGACCCAAGGGTACAAAGCATCAGTGACTCTTGTCTTATAAAAGGAAAACACGAGGCTTTGCTGCCTTAGTGAAGTATTTTTAATAGAGCCTGAGCAAGCCGCAAGCCAGTTACATACACTAAAAAGAAATATAAAGTCTTATGCCACAGGGACGAGCTTCATATTTATTTCATTTTACATTTAACTAGTTATGCTTAATTTTAAGATATTAGAGGACAAACTACAATCAACACTCGATTAACATAAATTAAGCAACAGGTTTAATATGAATCACAATAAAAATAATTGTGATGAAAGATAGAATTTGGGACATCCCGTATATACATGTTTAGCAATACAAATCTGGAAATACAGTAACACAAAATGTTTATTGAAAGAATCAAGGCGTAAACTCATAGTAGTAAGGCTAGCTGCTGCAGCGCGTAGATGGAGATTGGCAGCGTTTTAATTCGGGGCGGGATCTACGGGATACACGGACAAGGGTTGCCCAATACACAACATTTCTAAACATTTTTGATTTAAGTCGAAATCAAACAGCACATTTTCGCATTTTCTAGGTGGATGCAGTAACAAAACAACAACAGATCACAGTCCAAAGAAACGAGTGTTACCTGAAACCACTAGGGCCTCATTTGGTCCGACGGTGTGACAATTCCCCATTTTTCACCGACAGGAAAATTAACAATCCAAACAGAAGCGGCTCGTCCAAATCGTAAACACTTTGCGGATTCGTTTCCTTGCCTTTAACCAAGAGTATTTTCTTATTTTTCACCACAACATTCGCTCAGCCGCTCCCCGCCCCTACAACCACTTTTCTCCACCAAGCGTAAACGACATCCAGCCGGAAGTAATATCAACGTGTGCGCACTGTGACTTCCGGTATAAAGTAAAACTCGGATCATAAGGTTTTCATTTTCCAGCCCTTACGGCGAAGGAATAATGTAAGTATTTTGCTGTGTTTTAACTACAACTTAACGATGGGCAGTGTCCCTTTCCCTCTTCGTCGATCCTCCTCTGGCTACTGCAAAGATGCAATATTCATCACAAGAAATGCGTGGGGTGGTTTAAAGGCCCTTCCACGAAATTGTAAAAATAAAAGCAGTTTTCTCCATGATGATTCACATACGTGTTTTGTATGTACTATCAGCATTCGGCAATATGGCTGTAATTGTTTGTGCCTGCAGACTTCGTGACATCTAAAAACAATAATGACAAAAAAGGAAATTGAAATGTTTTCCTTTAATAATGCAACCAAACAGACATACATTTGATAGAATAAAGAAAAAAATAACAAGACTCGATGAATGCAATGTCTAAACAATCATACGGCTATATTTGGCAGAATATGTTATGTTTTTATATGGCAGTGGCACATATAAAAGTTATAAAATAGGTCAACTTTTCCACTATGGTAAAAGTGATCTGGGGACCATACAAGTATATCTGTGTGGTTCTCACCTTGGATCCTGGCCTTTTATAATCACTGAAGAATACACTGGGCTAAAGACAATTGAGTGTTTCCAATGATGGTATTAAGCATTTGTCTCTTAACTGTTGCATAGAAAAAATCATATTGTTATTTCAAATTAGTTTGTTGACAAACATGACCTACATGGTCAAATACACGGCCTGCCTGTCTGCATTTTGAAGACTGGCTCAAAAGCAACCAATGTGGAAGGCCTATCTATGTAGGAATATTCAGATAATAATAGAAATGAGAGAGTTTGATTGACTGACTTCTGTATAATGTTTGCCCTATCTGAATGTGCTGATGTGAACAAAGTCCAGTTACTTTCAAAATGTTTGGATTGTGTTGCAGGAAAAGACACAAAGTAACAATGAACTGACCTTGAAATGATTGTATTCACTATTTGTTTCCACAAAAATCACAGATCTGTGCCTCTCTGATCTCATGTCCTGCTTGTGTATGGTAGGCTAATCATTACAGATAATAAAAGCAAGTTAGGCTATATCATCTGGAGCCTCTGAGAAATCCTAGTCACTCAGTATAAGGAGCCGGGACACAGACAAGAGATGAATGAGGCCAGCAGACCGACGTGGAGCAGGCAGATAGAGTTCACCCTGGCGGGCATCGGCTGTGCTGTTGGTCTGGGCAATGTCTGGAGGTTTCCATACCTGTGCTATAGGAGCGGAGGAGGTGAGAAAGTGTTGTCATTCATACGCTCATACGCAAGAGTCCAAAGGTATAGTTTAAGGTAACTTCATTCTGAGGTTGAAATTAATTATTTTCTTGTTCATTTATGATTTTTGAGCTCTTTTGCAACATTCCACCAAGAATCGTAGGTGTACTGTAGTCAAATGTTTTGACACGCCTTCTCATTAAATGTTTTTTCTTCATGTTTATTACGTTGTGCAGATAAATACTGAAGATTTCAAATATAATAAGAAAGATGTAGCAAAGAAAATAGTTAAATTACTTGAAATATTTCTTATATTTTAAATTCAGCTGTAGCCACTCTTTGCTTTATTGACAGTGCTGCAAACCCTTGGCCAGAAGACTTCATGATGAAGTCTCCTGAAATGGTTTTCACTTCACAGGTGTTTGTTTATAGTTTCATTGTTTCATGAGTTGAATTCTAGGAGTTGCAAAGCAGTGATCAATCTAAGGTGGCTGTTTTGAAGAATTTAAAACATATTTTGAGGTTTTATTTTCCCCTCCCGCATTTTTAGTTGCTTTCCACATGTTTTGACACAGTTTTGATGCCTTCAGGGAGAATCTAGAAAATAAAGAAAAAACTAATGAAAAATGTGTGTCTGTGTTTGAGTGCTAACATTGTTGCAGATACACTATAACTACCTTTAATAGAAAACCTGTGATAATTCATTTACTCTCACTTCATGACAGGGGCTTTCCTTGTGCCCTATCTCCTCATGCTGCTGGTGCTGGGCATCCCTCTTCTGTACATGGAGCTGACAGTGGGACAGTACACACGCAGAGGCCCGGTCCATGCTCTGGCCAAAGTCTGTCCCTTATTAAAAGGTAACTCATATTTTATAGGGCTGGGCAATATGACAAAAATGTATTATGTTTATTTTTTTTGTTGATTCCAATTTCCGATTTTTATTTTATTTATTCAAATCAAATAATAATGGCTTTCAGTATTGACTTCCTGAACATAAACAATAAAAGACTTTATATCCAATCTACAATACACTTTTTTTTTGCACATTTCATAAACAGACAGTTTCCAAAGTGCTGTTCAATAGTTAAACCAATAATAAGAAAACAAAAACAACAACAATAATAATATAATAAAATAATAAAGCAATAAAAACAGTAAAATAAAATAAGAGCACAAAAATAAAAATAAATAAATAATATTAGGAAGATAATGTCAAAGGGGACCACACAACTCACGCAAGAAGGCTCTGTCCCTATTTCTGTTACTGTCAATGGATTGACTGACCTGTTAATAAAAAGACTCAAGCTCGTTGTTGGCATTAAAAATAACTAAACTTCAATTAAAGTTGTATTAATTGCACGACCCTAACATTAACTAACACTAAATCACTACATTGACCCACAGGTGTAGGCATGGCATCAGTGGCTATCTCCTTCATCATGTGCACCTATTACAATGTGGTCATCACCTGGGCCTTGTACTACCTGTTCAACTCCTTCCAACAACCTCTGCCCTGGGCCAGCTGCAACAACACCTGGAACACAGACAACTGCACCATTCACAGCACCAACAGCAGCCACTCCTCAACTGCTGGCAAGGAGTTCTTCCAGTAAGTGTACATGTTTGAAGGTCTTATATTACACATATTTGATTCTTGTGAGCTTTAAACCCTGTTATAATGCTGTTACCTCATTAACGTCATCAAACATACCCCGGCCCGAGTTGTGTTTTGTTTCAGTCACACATGTTTGTGTAATCCTTTGTTATTAGTCTGTCTACTACTACTAATAATACGTGATGTCATGTAGTGGTAGTTTTCAAGTTACCTTTTAACTTTACTTTAGTAAAGACTGGCAAATCCATGGAATTTCAAAACACAGTGGAGCACTTCCTGTATTATCACATGACATTATGAGGTGGAATTTTTATTTTTATTTTTTCATTTGAGAGAGGAACTCACTCTAAATATGCAGGGTTTGTGTGTTAAACTTGTGTGAATGAACCAAAATACAACTCCAGGTATGGTTTTGGTCTTCACTGTCCAGCCCTGTCACAAAAGTGTCAATATGGCAATATTAGCTTGTGCAGTAATCAGTATCAAAACAAACTAAATTGCCTATATCGCAATAACACAAGACACAAGAAAAAAACATTAAAAAAGGATGATTTAGACTAAGATTCTTGGTCTAAGAGTCTTGGTTTTGTCTCTGTTAATCTTTATTTGATAGAGACTGACTAGTGAATTCAGACATGAACCTTTTAGTTTTAATACAAGTGAAATTATTGATTGATTATTATTATTGTTGAATCACTTTATTGATGAAGCTCACCCAATTATGATGTATTTATTGAACCAAATGAAAAAGAGTTAATTACAAGGGTTATCTTTGTGAGTCAAAAGTAGTGATAAGGAATTGTAACAAGAAGTAAAGTTCAAGTACATGATGTCAAATGTGAGGAGAAACGTGAGGTAACATGTTATGTCATATATCACATCAGACTCACATCAAATCAAGTCTTGTATATTGCTATATATGGTGGTGTTTCTTTGCTCCATCAGACTACCTAAAACTGCTTCAATAAATGTTGAATGTTTAGCCATCTTTATATCCATAGCTCCTGGAACATTCACGATGTTCTAGATTTCAATGTAATGATTTAAGAGGCCTAATAAAGCTCTTTAGGCAGTTAACTGTTTTTTTTTTCATGAAACAACCCAAAAGAAAATCTGTTATAGTATATATGTTGATCCTTATAATTATTTGCTAGACATTGAGTACACAAACATGTTATAATAAAGTTATGGTCCTCCTTGTAGTCAAGTCCTTTCAACTAACAGCACTCACACATTTTTGATTGTTGTCAGAGCTTCTTATGTTTGTGCAAACATATTAGCCAGAAACCAGGTAAATTTGGCTCTTTAGAACAGTGCAAACTGACGTGAATCCAGCCTATTAATGTTATAATATGTAAAATAAAATGTTTGTCTCCTTTGCCTTTTTAAATTTTTTTTAAAGATATAATATGTTACAACAAACGGGCAGTGTGGAGGAGACTGGGACGCTGAGATGGCAGCTGTTCCTTATCCTCATGTTGGCTTGGATCCTCATTTATTTCTGTATTTTCAAAGGGGTCAAATCAACAGGAAAGGTAACAATGCCCTGTGACTGCACTATGGCTGTATAACCTTTCTGTAGAAGGGTACGCCACCTGCTTGTATGCATGATGTTATTGCAAGGCCTGGAATGTCCCACAGTATGGCATGAAATATTTTTTTCTATGGCGACATGCAGGTGATACTACATGGCCAAGTTAAATGTTCAGATCTGTAGAGAGGCGACCCCGTTCACAGTGTGTTATACTATAGAACATTCTAGGGCACAGATGTCAAACATAAGGCCCGGGGGCCAGATCCGGCCCTCCAAGACCTTTAAAGTGGCCCTTGGGTCATTTTCTACTAAAATATTTTAATTATATTTTCTATTAAAATCTTGTTAATTTTCTGTGGTGTTTATCACAGCAGCGTCTCCAGCATCTCTGTACGTGGCCCCTCCCACCAGAGCAGCACAAATGAAGACTTGTCTCTTTCCAAACGCTCTTAAAGGACGATCGTTTTGACTGTTGACCGTGACACCCTCATCAGAAAAATGTCCATCATGAGAAAAGTGAAGGATTTTCCAAGAAAAACTGACTTATTCCTGTTTACATACAAGTTCATGTTAAAACATTGTGTTGAAATTGAATTTTTCTCAAAGTTTCAGGTTGTTCATAATATTATAATATTATAATAAGAAAGAGTTCATCCATTAAAAAATATTTCTGTAATAGATTTGCATTTCTCTGCACAAATATTTGAACTTATTGTTATTTTTGGGGTTTATATGACATGTGTTTTCTGATATGTGTTTTGGATATGGCCCCCGGACCAAAATGAGTTTGACACCCCTGTTCTAGGGAAATAAATTACAATCGGAGACAAGCAGCTGGCGGACCATTCAACAGAAAAGTTACATAGTGCAGCTTTAAATACACATTGACCAATAAAAATCCACTCACCAGTAATTTCTCTGCTTGCAGGTTGTGTACTTCACAGCTCTGTTCCCGTATGTTATCCTGATTGCGCTCCTGATCAATAACGCGCAGCTTCCAGGGGCGCTGGATGGAATAACCTTTTTTATAGTGCCAGAGTGGAGCAAGCTGCAGTCTGTGGAGGTAACAACACACAGAAATAACTCATGGCTACTCTGGCACCAGGGCAGTAGACGGGGGGTAGGGTGGCCGCCCTCCTAATTTATATCAGGAGGGAGGCCATATGCGGCTTCTGGCCGCAGCCCCCCAATTTTGTGTTGACAGGCCTGTGTGGCACCATTGTTTTTTGACAATATAATCAATTATCCCTTTAAGACTTTTTAAGATGTGCCATTTTCCGTCATATTAATCAATCTTTATTTTCTATTAAATAAATTTTTTTTATTTTTAAAAACTAAATTAAATGGCTTTCATGAATATAACAACTTTTAATCAGTGCCATTTAACACAAAAAATAGCTCACTTTCTTTCATCAAAAAAACCCAAAAAACTTTCTTTCATCAAAATAACTCTGCTCCAAACCAAATGATTTTACTAACAGAGGACTGACTGTAGCCTCTCAATTAAAACCCCCAACTACGCCTTTCATGATAATTACTATATTGAATATGGCTCAATACATGACAGTTGGAACAGTAATTTTTTGTGGGTCTATATGTATCGTGAGAACTTTTTTCTTCGTACTAGTGGGAATTGTGGTTACTTTTTCAGCAATATAAGAAGATTTTAGCTGTCAAGGATTATAACTAAACACTATACAATGTAATTACTGAAATTTTTGTATTGCAGCTCAATATTGTACTTTTTGAAAGGTAATTCTGCTTTATGGTTTGGTATAATCCATTATTGTCTATATTTTCTTCAGCAATTTATTGTACTTCAAAATGTTTTATTGTGACAAGTCTGCCCCCAACGATATCATGGACAGTTAGACATGTCTGAATCTTGATCTGAATTTGATGAACTGCCGTATTTTCACTCCTCACTTGTTACAGGTGTGGGTGAATGCTGCTGCGCAGATCTTCAACTCCATTGGCATTGGGTTTGGTTCATTATTGGCCATGGCGAGCTACAACTCCTTCAACAATAATGTTCTGAAGTAAAAATATGAAAATAAGCGCCCCCCCCCCCCCCCCCCCCCCAAAATGCATACAGATAAAATATAAATGTGATGTTTCCTTTACAGAGATACACTGGCTATAGCAATCATCAACTCCTTCACCAGTATCTTGGCTGGCTTTGTGATCTTCTCTGCCTTTGGATACATGTCGTACCTGCAGGGGATTCCCGTGAGCCAAATTGCAGTGGATGGTATGTACAAAGAGCAAAAATTAAATAGCAAAAAAAAAAAAAAAAAGTAGCAAAAATAACTAAAGTCATTCTGGATGCATATTTATAGAACAATTGCTATAGTGCTTTTGAAGGTGCACTGTGTAATCTGCTTGGCTCTATGGGAGATGTTATTGCTTTGACCGGAATGTTCCAAAGAATGGCATTAAACACCCCAGAAAAAAGTTACACAGTGCACCTTTTTTCAGTAGCCTATGTATGGAAGTGTAGTTACATGTTTTATCTTACGGTCCATGACTCTTTTCCAGTTCTAGAGTAGACTTGCCCGACCAGACTAGTTATTATGTTTAGGTATTTTTAAAGACCTGTTCAAAATAAAATAAAACTTGTTCACAGGGCCTGGTTTGGTGTTTGTCGTTTACCCACAAGCCTTTGCTCAGATGCCTTTGCCTCAGCTGTGGGCCGTATTGTTTTTCTTTATGTTACTTTGCCTCGGGCTGGACAGTGAGGTAGAGTAAATTGTAACGCAATGCAGTATATAAACAATTCTTACAGTTCTGTTTGAAGAAATGTTGCTGGTCTGATGTAGTTTGCGATGGTGGAGGTGATGGTGACTAGTCTTATGGATCAGTTTGGCCAGAAGCTGATGAAAATCTTCAGGAGAAAAGAACTGTTCGTTCTCGCAGTTTGTGTAGCAGCGAGTCTTCTGGGAATCCCATGTGTCATGCAGGTTTGTTTGTTTATTCTTTATTTGCCAGGAACAATGTACAAATTTATTAATCTTACAAAAGAAAATATGATCTATAAAAAGAAATCTACTGCTGCTTTCCATCTGCAGTCCATGGGCAGGTGAACAGACACTAAAAATACACATTACATTACCATTCCTTACGTTCATTGAGTATTAAAGTTTCAGTACATAACTTTCTGGAGGAGGCATGTTACCTCCATGATTCCATGTAAATAAAAATGTAACCCATACTTTGATACAACCACCTGGATATGCCAGGATTATGCCATCCTGTGGATTACAACCAAAGGAACAGCATTTCCATGGAGAAAATCAGGTAGAGTCAGGTTTGTGGAGATGCAAGTCGTAAGGACATCAACAGCATTAGATCAGTAATACAATAAAATGTCACCTTTCGAATATTTTAGGTGGTTTCCTAAAATACCAGCAAATATTATAAATAAATTTGTGCTAGTCTTTTCAAAGAATATTACAAGAACAATTTAACTCAACATTGCTTCTTGACCACATGTCCTCTCTATTATCGATGTCCAGGTGGGGATCTATGTGTTTCAGTTGATGGACCATTATACTGCTATAGTCTCCATCATGTTCTTGGCATTCTTTGAGATTATAGCCATCTGCTGGTGTTATGGTACCTTTCACAAATATTTTCTTAATAGTACTCTGGTTTTGCTTTATATTTGTTGCTATATATATATATATATCTGTTATATGTTTTCTATAGGTGTAAATAGACTGTCGGACAACTTAGAAGAGATGACTGGAAGCAGAGCCAATATCTTCTTCAGGTTATGCTGGCTCATAATTGATCCTGTGCTCATAAGTGTATGTTGTTTTATTTTTTTATTTAGATCCCCATAAGCTACTAAAACAACAAAATAGGTGCTATTCTTCCTGGGGTTGTCATTGTGAAGTTGAGGTTAAGTTGTGTCAGTTAGAATTGTACCTTTTGTTTCAGGTTATTCTGGTCTTCTCTGTGATCCAGTTCAAACCTGCTCGGTACGAAAACTACGTTTTCCCTCCCTGGGCACAGGGGGTGGGATGGGTCATTGCTTTGGCCTCCATCATCTGGATCCCAATGGCGGCTGTTCACACATTGTGGGTGTTGTCTGGCTCATTCATTCAGGTAAAGACACAGTCCATATATATTAGGTATGGCTCTGTCACTGTTGCTATGTGCTAATATTGTTTGTGTTTTTCTCCCCAGAAACTCAGGCTGTCCATCACACCAGGTACACTGGATGAAATGTCAAAGATGGCTTATTATGAGAGAGGAGGGGGCGCATTTCCAGTGATAGCTGTCACCAGCTCGTCTCAGTATCCAACTGAAAAGCCACCCATCGAAACAAACTTTTGATACCTCATGAATCCATTCATAAGCTATTATCAATGGCATTAGTGTTAATGATCAATATTTTCTACTATTTAAATACTGAGTGTGTTTATTCATTTTCTTGTTTGCTTGCTTACATTATATTAGTTGCTACCTATCTGCTATGCAGATAACTTGAAGTGGCCTTGTTTGTGAGACATTTTAATGTTTGTTTAAAAAAAATGCTACTGCTACATAGAGTAATACTGCCATCTATTGGTCATGTTGAATTAAGATCAAAATAACCAGTGTACTAAAACTGATAAAGACAAATATTCACAGTGCATTTAGTGACTCATTTATTATCATATGACATTCCCGATAGAGATAATATGTAGATGGTTAACAGGAGTACATGAATCATGCAGCTCTTATGTTCAGGTCTAAAGCTGGTCACAAAGTCCATAACGTGCATTGCTTTTCTTCAGTGACTACAGTAACACAGAAGCAGAAAGCACCCAGTTAATGACAGTACTCCTGGACAATAGTTTTAAGTCATTTGCCAAGAATTTTCCCCAAAATGTTAGGGTACAAATCATCTCTCTTTTCATAACCTTCCTAAATTCAACGTGCAAGACTGAATCACATAAGCTGATTAATAAGGTCCGAGTCTATTTTCCCCAATCTGTACAAAATTGATTAATATAACTATTATTTCATATCATCAGGTCATTCAGTGTTAAGACATATGGTAAATAAAGGTTGCAGAAGGGTGTGAACACATTACAGCTAGTGTTAGTGTTTTTGGTGTGGGACATCCAGTGTTAAAATTTTAAAACAAATCATGTCATAAACAGCAATTACTCATCTGGTTGAATAGGAAAAAGATATGTAATGTGACCTAGAAAAAACAACACCAAAATAAAAAGGTAGAACATGTGCAATCAATGGCATACTCTTCCCTCTATAGTGATGGTCATGTACAGAAGATGACCACATGGTACACAGCAGCTCTCTTAAAGGTACACTGTGTAATGTTTCAGGGAGATGTCCACTACATGCTTGCCTCCATAGATCGTATTTATTGTCTATGTAGTGTTATCTAATCTAACTCCAAGAAGATGCCACCAGGTCAAGTTCAGGATCAGATCTAAAGAGAGGAAGGATTTTTTTTTTGTGACTGAACAAATGCGAGATAGATACGCATAATACCATACTGTGGAACATTCCAGGTAAAGCAGTGACATCTCCACAAAGACAAGCAGGTGAGGGACATCCCACTATAAAAGTTACATAGTACACCTTTAAGCATTCCTAGAGTTGACTGGAGTTAGCTCAGGTCATTGCTGGGCTATTACACCCATAACAGAATTTTGCGGCATTCAGTAGTGTAGTTGTAGTGGTTTCAAATGTCCAAGCCCTTCAGGACAATTCCCTGCATAGTCTCTTTAAGACTTCAGCACACTTTGTACTTCGTCCGTCCGTTGTCACAGTTGTAGTTAAGTTGATGCATTACCCCCACTCGCCAGCAGAGGTCGCCAAGGATTTACAATAGGTGTGCCGGCTGCTCCTGTGGTCCTCTGGTGCTCTCTGCTGCTTTGCTAAGACACCTGCTCAACGGGCCTCATCTGCACGTCTCCAATCTGGCAACACATAGCTAATTAATAACTGTAAACAACAGCAGAAGCAAGGAGTGTTTGGAAGAATACATGGTTCGGTTTGTGTACAGTATTCTGAATAGTTAAAATATTCTCACACCTAGTTGCCTAATATAATGGTGTAAAAATGTGACATAGGATTTAAAATAGCAGCTTTATGTATATTATGCACTTGTTTATCACTAATAAGAGAAAGAAAAGTTACACATACACTCCACAAGAGCAGTGTTTTCTATTTTGCATACTAATGATGTGCAGTTCAAAACCTAAAATACACGATAAAGTACAGTAATTTATTTGTTTTGATATTCATTTAATTAAATTTTAGAAACTATTCTAAATATTACTAAATGAAAGAGTACAGGACCACTTAATTACTCAAAATTTGTTTAGTTTCTATTCCTTACCATGTATTTTTGGTACATGTATTTAGTTACTTCATAGCACTGGAAGCAAGGTAGGGCAGGGCAGGCATTAGTGGAGGTCAGACAATGGACTGAAATGAATTACATCATAGCTATCTCAATGGCTATGAACCGTGACAACTGGTGAGCACAATGAGGAATGCTGTAAAGAGAAGGGCAAATAGTGTACCTGCACATGAGGAGGGGCACTGAGGACATAGGTCACAGCGCTGGCTATGTCTTCTGGTTTTAAACACTGCAAAAACAGAAATAGAAAATATCCATCATCGTGTTTTTGTTAAGGTTCATAAAAATAAATGGAAATGTACATACCTTTATACTTGCATACACAGCTGCTGCTTTCTCTGGGTCACTGTTCAGGTGCCGGAAAGCAAACTCTGTTTCTACTATTCCAGGAGAAATACACTACGGAAACAAAACAATATTTCAACTATAGCAAAGAGTGTAAGACTGCTTACAGTGTTGGGAAGAATACTTTAAAAACATATTTACAACATAATGAATATCTGCAATAAGATGTATTTTGTAACATATTCTGTTAACATCGCCCTGTACAATTTCCTGAATACTTACAATATTTCCATCTTGAGTTGCATTATATTATAGTGCAAAAAACAGCTTCATGTTTTTTGTACTTGTTTGTTATTAACTTATTTTACGCCAGTTAATGAAGAAAAAATCCCACATGAATGCACCACAACAGTGGTTTTCCATTTTTCTTACAAATAATGTGCAGTTTGAAGCTTAAATTACATGTTGCCATGATGTATTTTTTAAAACTCTGGCAATCACTAAATGAATGAGTAATTGTAACTTAACAGAATTGCTCATTTTGACTCATTTGAATGCATATTTTCAGTACATGTATTGAGTTACTTCTCAACACTGCATCATGTACATGATGGTGACCAAATGGTCATTGGACATCATTTGCAACTACATCTACTTGGCTTTGAATCGAATTCTATTGGAAACTTAAAATTCAAAGTCCCCTGTTTGCATTCATAAACCTCCTCAATGCAACTGATAGAACTACTCATCTGCAGTATATTGCATCTGTGTGGGATGACATACAGTTACTCTGATGTGGCTGTTGGCTTCTCGGAGCTCTTGTCGAAGCCCTTCGCTCAGAGCAGTCACAGCGTATTTAGTGGCACAGTAGAAGTGCTCATCAGCACTTGGCACGACTCTGTGTCCTCCCATACTGCAGCACAACACATCACCATATTAATTAACAAAGCAAGACAGACTTAACAAAAACTTAATAAATAAGAAATCAGGTTAATTGGTATTGAAAATGTGATTAAAAGTAGTTTAAGATCATCCTTTATACAGACTGAAGTCATGATGGCATTACAAGTTTTGATAAGTGTGCACTATAACTTTTCTGGAGGAAGGTTTGTCACCTCTTTGCTTCATGGAGAAGATATTGTTTTGCACAGAATGTTCAACAGTATGACATTGAACATATCTGCTTTCATTTGTTTAAACAGATGTGTTAATATTGCTGTGAATCATTCCATGCGAAGCAATAACATTTCCATGAACACAAGCATGTTGTTGACCCTCCACCAGAAAATTTAACATAGGATTAAATTAAAGGTGATTAGAAATGATACAACGAAAACATAACAAAATTAGGTCTTTTTATCTTTGTCTAGTATAATACTAGGATGCAGTGTGTCTGAAAAAGTGAGAAAGGTGAGAAGTAGTTGCTTTAACACTTTCTGATGGGGTCGTTCGTGCAGACGAGTCCTCAGAGCTGTGAGTCTCACCTGTTTATATTTATAATGTGACCGTCGTCCACATTTCTCTCCTTCATGGATTTGTACGCCTCACGAGTGCAGATCGACAGGGCCACAACATTCACCTGCAAGAAAGCAAAACATAAAAAATACAACAGGAAACAAATGAATCACAATCTTTCATTTGATAAAGAGGAGAAGGAGCTATTGGGTTAATCTGACTCTGAAACCCAACATTTGTACTGTTATTTTTATCTAGTGTGTACAAAATGAAAATAATTGCAATAAGGTTGTTGGCTTTTGTTTAACTGTGATGTAGACTTGGTTTAGTCCCGGTCCAGTCCTTGTTTAGTCTTGGTCTAGTCTCAGTTTTTATGTGGTCTCTCTGTGGATCTTTGATTGCTGTTTTAATTCATTTGAACTCTCAAACTTATTTAAATCTGGTTATCACTAATGACTAATTTCCTGTAATCAATATTATTACATTACAGCCACTACCATACTCTACCATACTGGCACTGTTTAAAGCAACTTTACTGGCGCTATTGAAAGTACATTTTGTAATAAAATTTATGGTAGACAGTCTGTCCCATGAGGATGTTATTGCTATACCAAGCATGTTCCACAATATGGCTTATACCACGTCTATCTCCCTGTAGACAAGCAGGTGACACCACCAGGCCGAGTTACAGTATCTGTGAAGTGCTGATCCTACTCCCAGTAAGAATGCATGTTTTGCAATGCATACTTTAACTATAAAAACACTTAATAAATATGTTCAATGCCACAGTGGAACATCCCAGGAAGAGCAATAAGATCTCTGTGGAGACAAGTAGGTCAGAAAAGTTACATAGTACATCACTGGTTGCGTGTGCTGATCTTTTTAGGCCTGCTTCCATATTCATAGTGATAGACAACATGTTCATAGTAGAAGAAGTGAGTTAGGGGGGAGCTGACCAAACATAATAGGGTCGGATTACAGATTACACAGGCTAAAAATATACTGCTTTACACATGACAGGGCTGCCATGACAACAGATGGATGTTTCCTATGAACGCAGAAGAGACTGAGGACCACAAGGGGTGGGTGGAGGGGGGTGTTTTTGATGAATCTCAATGTAAAGCTTGAAGAGAAGTACTGTGTGTGAGCTCAAGAACGAGTCTCATTGTAGCCACCTATATGTCGTGGGTGTTATTTATTATACATAAATCTTAGTAAGATGTCAAAAACTTGCTGGGGTATTTTAAACTTGTATTTTACAATTGTATAATGAGTGTTTACAGTTAAGTTTACAGTTAAACCAGTATTCTGAATCTCTCAATTATAAACACAATACTCTCTTTAGATTACCACTTATTAACTCATCAGCATATATAAAATAAAAGTTGCTAGCGTGTTTAATGTTATGTTCAATACTTGGTCACTCTTGTTCTGGTTTAGTCTTGGTCTAGCACAGGTTTTGTTGAGATTCTAGTCCTGTTTTGGTGCTGTTTTGGTCCTGTTTTGGTCCTGTTAGAGTCTTGTTCTAGTGCAGGTTTTGTTGAGAGTGTAGACCTGTTTTAGTCTTGTTTCATCCTGTTATAGTCCTGGTATAGTCCTATTTTAGTCCTATTTTAGTCCTGGTCTAGAGCAGGTTTAAGGTCTAGTCCTGGTCTAGTGCAGGTTCAGTTGAGGATCTAGTCCTGTTTTAGTTCTGATCTAGTTCTGGTCTAGTTCTTGTTTAGTCCTGGTCTAGTCCTTGTCTAGTTCTGATCTAGTCCTGGCTTAGTTGATGGTCTATCTCCAGTTTAGTCCAAATGTTGCTGTGGTGTGCCCAGTGCCCACCCACATCGATCATGTTCCTCCAGCCCGCAGTCTGTCCGCTCAGGAGGGGCTCGTTGTGGGCCACTCCAGCGTTGTTGATGCACACATCCACTCCTTTGTGCTGCGTCTTTATGGCTGAAAACATGGACAGGATCTCATCTTCATTGGACAGGTCACATTTGTACGGGATCAACGTGCCGCTGTAACCAGCACTCTGACACTCAGCTGCCAGTTTCTGTAAAACACAAACAGAATATCTCTTAGTATAGCTAAAAGGGCACATAATACGCTATTTTTTAACCTATGTTGTTTCCTCATCAAAATATACCTGGAGTTGTGTTTTGTTTCATTCACAAATGTTTATCACACAAACCCTGCATATTTAGGTGGAGTTCTTCTCTCAAAGAGAAAAAACTCAGTTCCACCTTGTTATGTCATGTGGTAATACAGGAAGTGCGTACACCTTCACTAGAATCATCTGGATAATTTCAATTGGCATTCTCTTCAAAACTAACTTCATGACATAACAAAGCAGAACATAGCCTTTTGAGCTTTCAAGATGGATACAGCTTAATAATAAAGGGTTACTCAAACATGTGTCAATGAAACTAAACACAACTGCTGGTAATAATAATAATAACTGCTAGTCTAATATTAAATTATAAGAGATAAGAGATCACAGCGAGACTATACAGACAAGTTTAATGTCATCCTGTGGAGTATATCTTCCAGCTCTATATGTGACTCTACTGTTTAAAACAGGTCATGCGAGTAGCACCGCTGTTGTTGCCCGATCAGAGCGACACAGTTCTGCCAGGCACAGCTGCACTAGTCACCTGACCAGGGGGTGTGGCCTGATAAAGCACTTTAGTACACACAGGAGACTGCCTGTCATTAAGAAATATGAAGTTGAGGCTTTATATTATATCAGCATTAGAGGTAGTTGCTTTTTCAGCTGGATATTTGACACCAGTCTCTTGATTATTTTTGCTACTTATTTAGAATTTATTACCATTTATATTTTTTCCTCTTTGTTATTATAATGTATTGTGATGTGTGAGATACTGTGTCCAACTAATTCCCCTTGTGGACCAATAAAATTGTCTAAATCTAAGTCTAGGAATAAGTTACTTCAATGAATGATTACAGTTTAGAGCATTGAGAGGATTTGACAAGCCTATGAAGTGCTCTACAAGCATAGAGCATTATTATTGTTATTAATAAGCACCACAGTTGTTTCCAAGCCCTGGGTCCATCTGAAAGACACTAGTTATATGCCTGAAGTGTGATCCTACAGCTCCATGGTGACAATAGAGCCAGAGTCTTTCACAGTGAAATAAAAGTCAGAGCTACAGCCTTTCCCACTGTCTCTGATCCCAGTCCAACAGGAAGTGCCCGTCTGTATGTGTGTGGGTGAAGAACTACTGCGGTGGTCAGTGCCAAACCTACACAGTACTGTGAACGGTGCCAAAGATAAGCTCCAGTGCCAAAAATAAACAGTTAATTCAGCAAAATCCAAACTGGGCATCTCTGGTCTGCAGCACTCCATCTAGAAGTGGGCAGATAATCGGAATATGGATAATGTCATGTAAATTGTTTTGAAGATATAGCATATTAACAATGAAAATGGCAAACACTTATGCTGTAAACTTCCAAGGGTCTAAGTTATATTTCTGCTCTTATGTGTGTAATTTTACATGCCTAATATTTAAATCTCAACTAATACATTTAAAGACACATTTCATCACAATCAAATTAAAACACCAGTAACTAAAGATACAAAACAGCCAGGCCAGTATCCAATAAAAAATTGGAAATGGCAAAGTCATGTTATTGTAAAGAGGAGCAAATGATTGCACCAGCTTGGAAAAAACTCAGAGCTGATGAAGAACTATAGGCAGACAATTAATGTAATGTTATGTTTTATTAAGTCCCATTGAAAGATGAAACAAATCAGTAGTGCCATAAAGACTCATTATGTAAAACAGGCAATAAAACCTTTATCAATAATCTAAAACCATAAAAGCTCAATGCAGAGCTTCTATAAAAGAATAGAAGAGCTCACATCATGTTTATCAGTCATTCACTGTGTCACCAAGACTGTAAATGGACTGACGACACGCAGGGGCAAGTCGAGAGGAACGGGATAAAAATAAAAGGCAGTGAAGTGCTAAAGGCCTTAAGTGGAGAGCTCCATCGATCGCACCAGTGCAGCTACGAGCAGAGATCAGAAATAAGATTTGTCTCTGCCCGACTCAGGAAGGCTTTCAGATGAGAGGAGTGGTATTATGGGCACTCGGGAGTTTACTAAATATATCAAATAAGCATACAAATGTGACTGTTGGCATTTCAGGCGGCAAGTAAATCTTTGTGAACAGAAGAAACAATAATGAAAAAATAGGTGTCTTGAAGGTGTGTTGCTAGTCCTGTCACAATAACAAATTTATGCCAACAATAAAGTAGAATTATCCCCAAAAAACTACAATATGATAAACAAAAACTGCAATAGATAAATAGCAGACTAAAATACCTTAGTAGTTAGTTTATATCTATAATCAGTCATAGAAGTTATTTATTCAACCTTTTGAATCAGCTGAGATTTTTCAGAGAACAGGAAAAATGACAAAAGGTTCCCATCTAGTACTAAGAAAAAGTATCCATGTGTACCCATATTGACCCCCAAAATGATCGTTCCATCAAACATATAGTGAACGATAAGGGAATATAATAAGATTAGGCCTAGGTGTTGCTGATCAGTAGTTGTCTGGCCAGCCCAGAATACACACTTCTGCAACACTAATACTTTAAGATGTGAGTCACAGGTTATATTTTAGGTCTCAGAGAACAGATGGGGGTGCTTGACAGGAGGAATAGCTAATCAAGATCATCTGTCTGTATCACAACAAATATGACAGATTTATTCAGAATCAATGCGCAAAGCACTAAATGCTGTTAATCTCAGGTGAAAGAAGTTATTTTGTTCTAATCTAAATGATAGATGACTAAGGAACTGATCTGAGTTTGACATGAGATGCTGTGGAGGAGGTGGAAACCAGGCAGAGAACATACAGAGAGAACCAGTCTGTATCCCAGACAAGATCAGCAGTGGTCAAACCTGCATTAGGCATATAATACCAGTTAAAAATTATACATACAGATTATTTATTATCCTGATAATTGCTTTCTTAGGGATTTTCAGCTTTTGACTGAATGTATCATTGGAGTTGCCATCAACCATACGATTTCTAAGTATTTAAAATGTTTAAAAGGTCCTATAAATATAGGAATATGTTGAATATTATTCTACATCAACTGAACAAAAACATAACTAGAATTGTTTTGTTTCATTCACACCTGTTTGAGTAACCCTTTATAATTAACCTATCTACATCTCAGTCTCAAAGCTCAATATACTCTGTTCCACCTTGTGATGTCATGAAGCAGTAGTTTTGTCTTTTACCTTTACTTCAGTAGACATTAGCAATTCCAGGGACCATGTGGTTTATAATATGCTACTGAAAGGCTATAAGACATAATCATCACAATTAAATCTTTCTGTTATTTATTTTGATGGCTTAATTTCTCTGCTCCTCCTGACTTTCTCATGTCTGTGTATCTACGTGTTTCTGCCTTGTTCCCAGGAGCAGCCCCTCTTTTCTCTCTAAAAAAAACATGCTCTCATATTTTCACCACTAAACATGTTATACGATTTAATACACAAGATTTTAGAGTATTTAAAAGTTCATATATTTGTCCTGAGTCCATCAACGTAAAATAAAAAGTGACTGAAAGAAAAAACTCTGTTAGAATATAGCAGCAATGAGTCTCTACAGAGCTGGTTACTTTCTGTTTGCAAGAAAGGACCCCAGACCTTTGGCCTTTCCCTGCCTGTGCCAAATTGACAACACAGCACCATGGATCTATTAAAATATATTAAAAATATAAAAAACAGCATGGAAGGATATGTGAGAATCAAACTCAACATGGAATCGAATCGAAACACCTGAATCGAACGATAGAGTAGAAAATAGCATAATAGATCTATAACCGTATGAACCTACAACAACAACAACTCGTGATTTACATTGCACTGTGAGATGGAAAAATCTGCTTTGTCTCTTTGCTTATGTCTTTGCTGGTTTTTGAACTGTATAAGAGTTCTTTCCTTTGTAAAATACCTGTGACACACCAAACACTTGCCAGACAGTGCATCTCCATCCTCATTTAAACACTCATGCGGATCATCAAAACTGTGCAGGGAGATGGAGCAGGGGAGGGGCTGGAACAGATGGACAGCAAACACAAAACTAACAGATAAAAAGTCACCTTTTTATACAGATGAAGTACAAAGAAGTCTATCCTTAAATAGCTCAAATCATGGATATTTCTGGTTTAATTAAGGACACAAATCTCAAAGGACCAAGTCAGACTGGGATTAGACAACCTCTTGACATATCATTTAAAGTTCATGTACTCAATTTTTTCCTCATGTGTGAGTGAACTTTTTCTTGCCCCAGTAAAGATATATTTTAAGCCACTCAATATCAGTTGATTGAAGCATTTTATTGTCAGCCAATCAGGAAGTGTGCATCAGCATGCTAGTTGTTAGCATTATCATGAAAGAAAAATCACAGTGTGTAATTAGGATGCTCAAAATGCATTTGGATAACTTTGGACCACTGCAAACCGTTCAAAGGTGCATTGTGTAACTTTCCTGGTGGTCCATCAAATACGTTTCTTCATGGAAATCTTATTGCTTTGTCTGGAATGTTTCACTGTATGGCACTGTATGGCAAACCTTTCTATATTCACAGAGACCAAACCAGACCAAGTTACCGGTCAGATCTGTGAAGAAGCAACTCCACTCACTGTCAGAATGCCTGTTTTTCTAAGTATTTTGGAACAATAACACTACCTGCAGATCTGTTTAATGTCATATTGTGGAACATTCAAAGCAAAGCAATGACATAGCCATAGAAACAAGAAAGTGACACATGCCCAACCAAAAAGTTACACAGTGCATTTTTAAAAAACAAAGTAGCTCTATTTTTCATATTTTTAAGAGTAAAAATGAAGTAGAATGCATTTAATCACGCTTCTTTAATGTGATATAGAAATAGTAGAGTGGTGCTGTGGGTGGGGTCAAAGGTTACGCCAGGCTGTATAATAGGATTGTGGTGGAGCAGAAGGGAGGGATGTTTGAGTGATTATCTCCGAGCGCCTCCGAAAGACCGC